CCTGTGCTTTTGATCCCAGTATTACATATTTAAAACTGCAATCCTATACACACTTGCATAATAGGAGTAAGTCCCAGAGAATTCAGAGGAGCTTGTTTCTGAATAGGCATGCATTACAAAATGAGCTCCATGGACTGGACAGAGGGCAGTCCAATCCACCACTCATTTCCTCAGAAGTAAATGTGCCCCAGGACACGCATCCTTTTTCTTTGCCAGGACTATGGGTTGCATTCCTTATAATGACACATGCACACCAGAGCATAGAAAGCATAAAAAGTGAACAGATTATCAATACTGTGGCAAGTGCTGGTGTGTCTCCTCTTCTCTTCTCTCCTCTCCTCTACCTCCTTATCTTATGCTGACCCCAAAACATAGAGTACAGATTAGCTACCACATACAGACATTTGGATCATAGTGTAACTGACGTACTGTGGAAATACCTTTCACTGAGAACTTCATCAAACAAATTAAATGAACTTTTATTCTTTTTAACAGCATTCAAACACCTTTTTTCTTTTCATTTCAAGAGACTGTCTTTTCACTGTCTTCCGGTGGAGAAACTGCTAAATACCTAAGAGGCTGAACTCAAAAGGCTGGGCCATTCTGTAATAATTTAAAGATGTGCCTGAATAACGATAGCATGTGATGACTTTGTTGTTGTTTTTATATTCCAAAACTTGAGCCAAGACCCACTGCGTGCTCTTCTTCATTGCAATATCCTTTCTTCCCCAAAAGCAAAGTGGGTAATGTTTTGCTTCTGTCTTACACAGGGAGAAAACCACACGATCACTTACACCAACACTATCACTGCTTCCCCAAATGGCAATGTGATTACCCGCCACAAACAGGTTGACCTCGTTGTGAGGTGTATAATGGAAAACAATTCAACTGTAGAAGTCATGTATGAAACAAAAAATGTAGAAAATGATGATGAAAGTGCTTTAGGTAGATTCAATCTCAGCATGGCCTTCTACGATTCCGATTCTTTCTCCCAAATGCTTGATTCACCATACTTCGTGGACTTGAACCAAACACTCTATGCACAAGTCAGTCTGCATTCCAGTGATGCCAATCTGTTAGTGTTTGTGGATACCTGCACTGCATCACCAAACCTTGATTCTACATCACCAAAATATGAATTGGTCAAAAGCGGGTGAGTGCCGTTATAACTGTTAAATATGGTTGTCATTTACAGTTAAAGTCCTTCTTGGGAGATTCAAATGTGAAGAAGTGATACAATTTCTACCCTTAAAGAAAACTAAGGGATAGTGGAGATTGTAAGTTGGCAGTGGAAGAGTTTGATGAACAGTTTGATGAACAGAGGAGATAAGTGGGGGGGAGGGGGTTTGGCCATAGGGAGCAGCATGTCAGAAGGCTTGGAGAATGTGGGTGGGACAAGAAAACAAATGGGGCTAATTTGAGACTAAAGGAGCCTGCATAGCAGTGGACCAATGAGAAAAGAACGGAAATACGGTATTGTGGTGTGTGCACACAAAACTGTACATTTTTGAAGTATCACAAAAACTGTAGGGTAAAATGAGACTCAAGTATCAGAAGCACATATATTTATGTAGTTTATCATGGCTAAAATACAGTCCAGAAGACTGAGACTCAGGGAACAGGAAGTGTGGTGAAGGAAAGCATTTGTAAACATTTGCGGAATGTACTCCTTAGTGAGGGGCGTCCGTTGCTGTCGTGATTAACTTTTAGGGAAATTTTTTTAGTGTTCCTGTTTGCCTAGGCTTTGGACCCTTGCAACCTTGAAATCATTAGTTTGAGAGTAGGTGAGTGCTTTTAGCAGTATTAAACTGTTTTAGTATATTGTTTTAAACTCTTTAAACTCTAAAGAAGTTTCAGTTGCATTAGTATCACTGCGTATGCCATGCTGGGCTCCTTTGGAAGAAGGTGCGGAGTATAAATCTAATAAATAATAATAGCAATAATAAAATTATCTACCAATAGGTGGGGAGTATTCTATTACGGACTGTGTTCTTACAGCTAATCTCTTTATACTGCCCAATACTGATGCTATGATGATGGTGGTGGTGAATAATTCAAGTTACTATTACCCACCCTTAACCTTAAGGTCCCAGGCAGGTGAAAACAATTCAAAATACAATAATTAAAACAGATACAATTGCAAAAAAAATGCAGGCCACTAGGCCAAACTTCTGTTCAATTGGCTATTTCTGTAAGGCCGACGGCAAGGTAGTCCTGTGTCAGATTCACAGAGTAATTTGTTTTCCAAAATTTCTTCACTTAAAACATTAGTCCACCAACTTACTATCTGGTAAACATCTAATATTACTGCAAACAGGACCAAGCGACTGCTGATCATTATAAAGTGATGTGGACGTTCTATTGCAGATGCGCAGAAGACGACACTTACGTGGCTTATCCGGTCCTTGAACATTATGGGAGATTCCGGTTCAATTCCTTCAGGTTCCTACGGTATCAGCCATCTGTTTACCTCCGCTGCGAAGTTTTGATTTGTGACAGCAAGGATCCTGATTCTCGCTGCACTGAAGGTTGTCGCCCTCGACATAAGAGAGAGCTTTCTTCCTACACATGGAAAGGGGAGGCTGCAGTGGGACCTATCATCCTGAAGAGAGATCTCAGCTCTATGGATCGCTCAGGTGTGTATATTGCAAGAAGAAGACTGCCTTCTGGTGCTTCTTTGGGTGATCTTATATACACAGATATCCCTGTTCTTAAAATACTATCAGTAAAAGAAACGATGGGGAACCCATGGCTCTCCACAAGTTGTTGGGAGTCAAACTCTCTTCATCCCATTGGCGATGTGGGTTGGAGCTGAAGGGGTTTGGATCCAACAGCACCTAGAGGACCACAGGTCCCCCAACACTGATTTATTTACTCATTTGTTATTGTGAGCCTTTATGTGCCATTCTTCAGCTGAAAAGCATTCCATGCTGGCTACTATGCAATCAGTTAAATAAAACACGACAGTCCCTGCTTGCACAGTTACAATGTAAAAGGCATGACACAAAAGGGAAACGGGAAGGGAAGAGGGACATGGAAAATGAACATTTATAACAGCCCTGATGAAGAGTGCATCGCTATCAAATTGCAGGAAAGCAGTGTCCTTGGTCCTCAACAATCTCTCACTCGATCTAGCAAATGAATGAAAGTGAAAGGAATATTTTCCCAATGATTATACAGGTGTGTGGGTGGGAGTGTACATGTACATGCTGGTATAGAGGTAATAAATTTTTGAACTACATTTTACTCTCCATTTGTTTTCTGCTTTTTACATTCAGATTCTTCTATTCAAGTTCATCCAGAGGAAAGCCAGAATACACCATCCAAGAGCCTGTATACCCTTACATTTGTTGTGTTGGCTGCAAATGCTGTCCTCCTGGCTGGTCTGGCAGTGACACATTTGTTCACTCAAAAACCAGGATACAGATACCAGAAGTTGCAGAGCCCTTAACAGAGCACTCCCGTTCCCTGCTTCAGTCTGAACCCTAAGTTTATGTAGACACACTGGAAGATTTGTGTTTTCATCAATCTTACCTTTAAAATATGATGTATGGAAAAGGGGGAAGAGATTAAGTATAGCCTATAAAATCATCACAGAGACGTTGTCCACCACTGGGTTTAAGGGAAATTAAACTTATTTGGGAAGGATAAATGGGTGAGAAACTGCAAAATGTACTTCTGACTAGGATTTTAAGGTAAGTTAGCTCATGGAAGTTTCCTAGATTATCCTCTCCTCTGCATCCACCTCCACACCTCCACAAAGAGCTTCTCTGGGAGAGGGGGTGTTGGGAACTTCTGAGGGAGTGGGGGAGAACTGCCCCAAATCAGACATTAATCTTCAGCTAACTTGCCATAAAGAAATTTCATTGCAGGAAAATCTCAGGTTCCCTCATGCCCCCAGCAGCAACAAGTGCCCCATTCCATTTTGTTCAGAAGGAGGCTTTGGAGTGGCTTTTCAGGGGTGTGCAAGAGGCTATAGGGGAGGAGGGGATGGGAGATATTTTTCCTTCACTTCTTAGAATCCACGATTTCAACTTGGGCATTTATGCAGATGTACAGGCACTCAAGCTATCTGTTTCTACTTGGTTTTCTAAGCAGAATGTGAATTAATGTGACAAAAACACAAACGAACCAAGCACCTTATACTGTTAGAAATTGTGCTGGTTCCTGTTGCAAGACCAGAGAAATTCATATCACCTTATGTGCAATTCTAATTCTGGAACAGTGTGCTCAAACATGTATGGCATATTGCAGCACCAGCCGAAGAGATGAGTGAATGATGGATAAGAAATGGAACAGACCTTAGAAGAACCATCTAGGAACTGGTGTGGCAGACAAGCCAAGATAAAACACCCACCCCTACATTGAAGACATCTGCACTTCTCCAAAAATAAGGCTCTTCATATATGTAAATAAATGAATACAGGCAAACCCCAATTTGCAGGGGGGTTGTGTTCCAGGTCATCGTGCATGACAGTGGAGAACACGTAAGCCTGCTGCACCCTGTTATGCCCACGCCCCCCCCATTCTGGTCCCTTCCAGGTCACTGCAATGTACGCAGGTGCAGTCGTGTATCAATTGGAAGTGGATAAATTGGTCATTGCCTGAAAACGGAATTGATTTAATTCTTGTCTACAGTAGGACATAAGACACCACAGTTAAACCTGCAAACTACTTTATTTGGAGAACTTTTCTTTAGTTCAATGAAAGAGGGGCAAACACCCAAAAACAGTTACTTTTTTGAAAATGTTTATGAATAAATAAGTCCTAAGTCAATATAGAAAAGATCTCTGAACGGAAAAAATATTGGGTTGTTGGGTTGTTGTTTTTTGCAAGTTACAGATATACAAACACTAACATTAGTGTACAATACTTGGGGAAATTACAGTAACAAGTACAAATACTGAGGTCTCAAGTATTTACAAGCTTATACACATAGTTTTGAAAAGCTTGCAAAATAAATAGTTGCCCTTGGAAGCCTCCCATGTCCCAAAGACTGCTTACCTCTTCCCATCTGAGCATTCTTCAGAATCATGTTCTTTTGAAACATTATTGGAATTCTGAACCAAATCAAACAGAGCAGCAACTTTATGATCCAGATGTTCCTGAAGTTTCTGCATACGCAGATCAATATGGTCCATCAATCTCTTCTCCATCAGTTCCATGTTTCTGGTGATGACCTTTTCCATGTGCAGAAAAACAGGCTGCTGTTCCAAGCTGCAGTAAATGGACACACAAGAAATAATTTACTCCAGCCCAAAATATAACTGACTGTGAATATTAACTACATGAAATTAAAATGTCTCAACAGAAGGCAAGGCACTGAGTCAGTGTGTTTCTGGACTATGTTAATTAACACCTAATATGATTTAATTCTGAACTGTACAGTTAACAACGCAAACTTAGAAATTATAACTATTCATCTTTTCATTCTAAGTATAGGGTTGCCATATTTTGAAGAGGAAAAAAGAGGAGACATTTGCCATCTTCTACTTTTAACCACAAATCACTATGACAACTCTCATTTTAAATACCCCTTTTAAATTGCTAGTGGCAATGTTCTTAACTTTCAACAAACACCCTTTAGAAGCCAATGTGTGTCACCCTAGTTGGAAGTACGCTGTCTCTACTGTCTCTGGGAGCCCTCTTGCTCTTTTTGCTGAGTTTCTACCTGAAAGGCCTACTCTGACAGCACAACAACTACAGCAGCTCCACACCTTAGGAAGTAAACAGCCTGAATAAATGTGGACCGTACTATACAGACTCCACTCAGGATGTGCTTAAAATCAAAACTGTGTCCCTTCAATTAGTTGACTAGTACAGCAGGGCAACAGGTTTTTTTCCTCCACCTACTGGGCTAGTTTACTCAATGCACACAGCTTTAGTTAGCATCCAAATTATGACATTCACCGTCAACCCCAGAAGTCTTTAGTGTCACAGTCCTTAATTTCAGTGCCTCAGTCATCTTCTGCCTTGTTATGTGTTAGGGGTAGAGGCGTCCTACCTGTGCACCTCAGACAAAGAGAGCTGTATAATAAAAACCACCCTCTCTTCACATCCACACACCCCTGGTTCCCTTTCTAAGCCCCTGGAGCAAAGATAAAAGATTCCTACAGAGCATTGGTTCACTGCAATGGAAACTGCTGGGGGGAAATGCCCAGCCAAATTGTCTTTTCTTCTCTTCTCTGCTCACCTTCAACCCCAAACACCCTCAACCCCAAAAGCAAAGCCTACAAGAAATGGTCTACTCAGAGGCAAGTCCCACTGAATGAATTGGAGCTTACTCCCAGGAAACTGCAGAGTTAGACTTGCAGCCCTCCAACGCAGCAACGCCTCTAAAGGACAGAAGATCCCCCCAGCTGAAGGGGGAAACCGGAACTCCCAGGTTAAGGAGAGTCCCCTCCAGCTCAGCTGCTCCTGTCCCGTCAGTGGGACTCCTGAACTATTACTCCCCACACTATTCAGTACTACCCGCTTTTATTTACTGGTGACCTGGATCCCAACTGCCCCCTCCTTCCCTCCCTTTCTTCCTCTGGCCACTAGTAAAATTGCCAAAGTAAAAGTAGTTTGCGAAGTTCCGCAGTCAGGACTCACCCAAAAGTCTGAATCCCATCCTCCTCAGATGCGGATCTGTTCTCACAGTGCTTATTCCTTTCATCTATTCGTAACCGATTTACTTGACCGCATACCGTTTGAAGGAGTGGAAGCAGCAGCATGGAGTTGTGTGCGTTTGGGTTTTCACTTCCTTGCTCTTGCAAAAAGGATGAGATTAAACCTTTGAAGTCATTCTGAGAAAGTACAGCGCTGGGCTGTGGAGCCTGAAGTCCTGGAGTCTCACATACATTTTCTGCATTAGGAATCTGTTTGTTCATATCGGCATGCCTCTTTAATTCTTCTATAGCCATTCCAGCTGCTGCATGAGCTCTTGGAAGAGATGGCCCATTAGGCAAGTGGTCTAATCTTCCAATATCAACTACCTTTTTCAATCCATCAATGGTATGATTGTTTTCAAACCCAAATCCATTTTTCCCAAAGACATTTTGTAACTTGCCTCCAAATGGAAGACCATTCTAATAGAAATAAAATGTTAACAACTTAAATGTGAAGCCCAAACAAGCCAATACATGCAACCCTATCCATCAAGGACATTGTTTTGGGCTTGTTCGTTTTGAACAGGCAACGTGAGGTTGGGGACTACTTCTCTTGCCATTTTATCACCCTCTCAGCCTGGAAGAGCATTTGTTCTTTTCTGATCACATATCTACCACCTTCTGTTCCCGAATTGCACCCCGCTCTCCCTGTTGGTTCCTGTTCACCTTGGGTACTAATTAATATTGCTTACAGAAATGTATAGTGAATATGATTTTGTATACTGCACAATAATTGGAATGGGGAGACAACCAACTACATTAGAAGCCTCTACTGTAGTACAATAAATGAAGAACAAAATTGCCTGGAAATGTGGGCAATCAGAGCAAAGGAAGAGGGCAGCAGACAGAGGAAACTATATAAGGTGCAATTCAACATAGCGTGAAAAGGCATCCACTCATGCAAAAGGTGTTTTTCCTTCCTTGTTCCCCTGTGCACCACCAAACTCTGCTCCAGAAGGTTGGGGGACATTTCAGAGTGGATTTTGGGGGTGTATGGGGGACCGGAGGAGGTGAAAGAGAAACCAGAAGACCCATTGCACAACTGCATTTCTATCATACAATCAAGCTACCACAACTGGGTATCCATAGTATTTTCACTCTTCTTGTCTTCACTGCCTACTTGCTAAAGGATCTTAGAGGTGCTTTAAAGGACTGCCTATCTCTTATTAACATCACAGTGATAAAATCCATTAGGCTGCAATCCAACCTCCAACCGCACACAGTGAAGAGGCTTTGCAGAGCAGCCACCACATCCATGCCCCTGCTGCTCATGGCAGAGATGGCAGAAGGTGGGACAGGACAAGTCTGATGCTTTTGTATGACAGCAGCGGAATCTTGCCCCAACACAATCCTACCCCATCCTCATCTTAGGAATACATCCTTTAGGGGCTTTCCACTGCTTTCTGCCAGTGGCCCTCCCGCCCACATGTTCTGGGGGGGAGAGAGGTTGGTGCCAACTGAATGCCCCTTGCATCACTTCATTGGCGGCAGCTGGTGGGAAGTGGATGGAGCTAGGAGAGCTGGGTACAAACGGACACCTTGCTTAACCCCACATCTCCTCTCCCCAGTCCACTGTAAGGAGTTTGCTCTGTTCATCTGGCTGGTTACATAAGGGCTGCCTATGTTGTTGTCTATTCTAGCTTAGTTCTACAGCTGAAATCTAGAAGGCAAATCTTGCCCTCGCTCCAGGCAGTGAGAATATCAGCCCTTATTGGCTGAAATCCCACTAAGTGCATTCATACGATTTGTCTCAGTACACAAATGCCATACATCCCTCACAGGGAACCCATGTCCGTTCTCCACCTCATTCACCACTGATAATAGTCATTTCATATATAACTTCAAATAAAGGATAATAACTTACCTTCTGTTGAAATACAACCATATCCAGGAGTTGCTGAGCCCCAGGTGATAATTTGGATCCCATAGATTCCATTATTGTTTGCACTTTGCCCAAGTCTATTCCTGATCCTAGCGCAGCAATGTCTGGCACAGGGTTCACACAGACTGGCTTGACTTGCACTATGATTTTACTGATGAGGACTCTTTGTTTTTCAGGGATGGACAGCAGCTGGATGGTGGAGGGGGGAAGGACACAGACAGGAGTGAACTGATGAAATAGTTAAATAGTTACTTACCTCTACAAAATATTATGGATTATAAGCAGTAAACTTGGTCTAGAAAAAAAAACAAACTTTTTGAAAGGTAATTATTATGGAGTTGCTGTCTAGGGAGCACCATGATGCAGGGCTGTTTTTTTCTTTTGGCAGGCCAGGGGTAGGTCACCTCTTCCCCCAGTGGTTCCCCTCTTCATCTCACAGATACATTGATGGCTGGGATATTGCTGCAGAACTGGACTGGCCTAGGTGGGTCTTTCCCCCTCTCAATTCTCTCCCAGAAATTTCCACAGTAAAGTAAGAATCTCAGTGTGCTTCCTGCTACAGGCTCCTTGTTTAAGGTCCAGCATCAGCTCAGATTGATTACTGGTCCCTTTGTCAATGCAAGGCATCCAGGAGATTCCTGATCACATCAGTTGCCAACACTAGGTCTGACTGTAGATACAAGACTCTCATTGCTCTTTGAAAGGAATCATATTTCCTCCTTTTATTTCAGTACTCAGAACAGAACACAGAGCATGGCACGGTGCTGCCTTTTTGAATAAATAAGATTGATAACCACAATTTAAGAAATAATTTCTGTAACTTCCTACCTTAATCTTACAAGAGGCTGCGGAGCACTCCAATTTAAGTGACTTTTGGTATAATGAAACCTGGTCATTTTTGCTAGAAAATTAAAAAAAATACAAGCTGTGGAAATTCTGTATAACAACATGAAGTTTTATGCAACAGCTTTTCACAAGAAGCACAACACAGATTAGCCTACTGCTGTTTTTCAAGGTACTGCTTACACTGATGCCCAGGAAAAGAAAAGAAAAGAATGACTGAAAATCTCAACAACTTTGATATATTTTGAGTGGTTTGATGGGTCCAAATATGATTTAAACATAGTGTAAAAATGTATGTATCAAGACTATGATCCGGAGAACCACATATACAAGTGTGGCTTGCATGGATGCACGACTTGGGTCCTTTCAGTGGCATCCCCTTGCCCCATATGCAATCATGCTGGTCCAGAGGGCGTCTTGACACTTAGGGTAAGGCAGAGGTGTAGCGGGGGGGGGGTCCATGGGGGCCTTGGCCCTGGATGCAATTTGTGAGGGGGCACAGACAGGCGCCCCCAAAGCAGGCTCCTTCATTGGAGCCTGGCTCTGAGCGAGAAGGAGCTGCGCCTTGGTCGCAGCGCTCATGCCTGGGCACAGCTCCGCCCCTGGGTCAGACCTGACCTGGGGGAGGAGAGCAGGAGAGTGGGCAGCAACAATGCCACCTACCCTCCTTGGCCACAGCAGCTCTGCTGTCGGGTCAGGCCCGACCTGGTGGTGAAGAGCAGGAGGGGAGTTGGTGGCAGCTTCCCTGCCCCCCTTGGAATGTGACGCTTAGGAGGGTGCCCTCCAGCCCCCGGCCCCCTTGGGGGCGCACACCACACACACCCCCGGGCAGTGTGGGCATATGCTCCACTGCTGGGGTAAGGAGGCCACTATGCACCATGGGGCACAAGCATAATAAAGGCTCTGGTCCCAATGTCATTCCCATATAAACTTCTTGAAACGCATGTAGTTGGAGGATCAGCTTTGTCCAGTACACCTACAGTTTTACCTATCAATAGCCTTTTCTTTCTTTTGCGGCATGAGGCTGGTTGCCCTATCCACAAAGGGTCTCATTGCTAACCTCTCACCCTCTATCCTCCTCCCTTCAGTGAGTCAGATGCAGACACTTTTTCTTCGGGGGAGAAATTTCTTTTAACAGTAGCTCCCAACCAGCATCCCAAATGTTGCTTTGCATTTCAATGCACTAGCAGAAAGCAGTCTGCATGGCAATATCAATGCATAAGTTGGTAAAAAAAAAGAAGGAGAAACAACAATATTTGGTTATGCAGTGTGACAACATGCTTTATCTAAAATCCAAATTGTCCATCTCAAACTAAGTCTTTATCTTTTAAATGACAACTCTCTCATTTGCTTTAAAACTTGGGTGGAGAACCTGTGGCCCTCCAGAGGTTACTAGACTACAACTCCCATCATCAATGACCATTGGTCATGTTGGCTAGGGCTGGTGGGAGTTGAGAGTCCAACAACAGTTTCCCCATTCATTCTTTAAAAGAAACTTCCTATATATCCACAGTTCCTTGAAATGCCATGCCTGAGTTTTCAAAAAGATGCAACTTAAAAAATGATTCTCTTGTAAGAAATGAGTACGCTAGCCTTATAATGCATTGGAGCTGCCTCCAGGTGATCAGGTAGAAAAGCTTTTTGTGAAGTGGAATGCATATAGTTCTTTCCTTTCAGTGTGCCACATAAAACTAACATGTCAGCAACCTGGAAAAAAAGGAGAAAACAACTGACCTGCTATGTTGGCCAGTAAAGACTTTCGCTCCTCTGCCAGTTCCACAGTACTCGTCACCAACGTAGACTTCCATGTTCCGGGCCTCACTGACAATGCCAAGACCAATAATTTCTTCTGAACCGTGGGGGTCACAGTGCAAGTACAGTAAGCATGGAGCGACGATGTCATTGTGTAATCGTCCTTCAAGAACCACAACATTCTCACTAGAAGGTGGGAAAGTCCATCTAGAATTATACATTTAGCCAAAGCACTGACAGTTCCAGATACTAAACAGTAAAGTTTTGTTAATGACAAACTGCTCATGACAGTGTGTGCGTGTGTGTTTTAAAATACTCCTCTTACAAGTGTTAGTTGGTGAATAGTGTTGCATTTTAAATTGAGATCAGAACCTGTGGGTGCCAACTGCACTGTGCAAATGAACTCCACTGGGACTTACAACAAGACTTGCTTCTGAATGAATGTGCACAGGATTGCACGGTAAGATATAATCACCAATATAGCTTAAACTCTGTATCTGTATAATAAATGAGAGAATAGTGATATACCTCACAGGACTGTATTTACCCCTGTTGTTGCCACATTGTTCAAATACAGTTTTTTTCTATGTCTGAATGATAGGATACTAGAGTATCTGACCATTGTTGGCTTGGTGAAACTACTGTTTTAGATCAGTTAATGAGCTTCTTTGGAAAACGAGGACTTGAATTCAGATCTAAGCTGTAGCAGATCTAAGCTGTAGCTGCTGCAATTCATTAGTGCTACCATTCATAGGCACGGTTTAAAAAAAGAATGATTCTGGTAGCTCCGGCTAACCATTGCAGAGAGATGAAGAGAGCAGTACCTTTAAGAAAAACCTATTTCTGAGGAAACTGTTAAAAGACCCAGGAGCTGTGCTAGTCAGTTGCAGCAAAAACAACTAAAGGTCTTGTGAGCACTTTTTAAAAAAGGTTTTATGTCACACTTATCTGTGAGCAAGCCCCACTGAGTGAAATAATACTTACTTTGGTGCATGTACACAATCACACTGCCATTGTAAAATAAGCTTTCATACTTGGATCCATGATAGCTTGTACTACAACTTTGGCCGTCTGCTCAAAAGTAAGGCCCACTGTGTCCAATAGGTTTACTCAGCTTTGGAGCCTATAAACGTTATACAAGACACTGCCTTATACCTATTCAGAGCACTGGTCCCATCAAACCCAGTACTGTCCACTGAACCCCTAGTGGATTAGTTCGGTGCTGGGAGAACCTCTTCCCTCTGTAGCCCCTGGCGGTGTTCTCGGTGGAGAGCAGGCTACTACCCTGATTTGGAAACCTAGCTGCTAAACCAAATTAACAGGAGCTACCATGTGTAAATTGGGACCCCTGTTTTAGGTAGTGGAGGGTCACTGCAAGGTTGCCAGAATGGAAAAATGGAGCTGAGACTTCGGAACCTAACTTATAAAAGGGACTTGTTCTAGAGCTGTGGTTCCCAATGTGGTGTAAACGCCCCGCAGGAGGGCAATTTGATTTATAGCGGGTAGGGACAATTCAAGAATGAGTTAGACCAAGTTAATGGCATTTTAGGCTTCCTCCACGTGAATAGTTTACTTTTTGAATAATAAGAATTATATGTCGCAGAGGGGGCGGGGACGACACCAGGATTTTAGAGATACTTACGTGGGGCACGGCCAAAAAAAGATTGGTAACCACTGTTCTAGAGCAAGTAAGAAAGCTACCCCAGAGGGGGAAGGGTGGATTGAAAAGGTGGAATGAGGACAAGAGCATATTCTTGCCAGGCTGCTGCTACACCCACTAGTCTTCCAATTGATCCAAATTGGGTCGCAGCAGACGCCAAGTGCAACCGTGCAAACTATACGGCCAAAGATTTAAGAAGCGGGTCCCCCGAGTGCAATGTGTTTGGGTTCAATTTGGGGAAAGTTGACAGCAGGAGCTCTCCAAGGTTTCCAAGGCAGGGATCGATGCCGGGAACTGATGAGCCTGGGATCCTTTTCGTGCAAAAACACACTACACCCTGCCCGCTGAGTCACGACGCGGAAGCCTCTGTGGTTGTTTGATGCTTGTTCAGCATTTGGCGGTCATTCTGGGGGTTGGGGGGTTCTGGAAGAGGGGCAGCCCCCCGCAAAGCCCCTCGAGGCCACGTCTCGGCTGCCCCTCGCCTCCTTCCCACGGCTCCCGGGGCTCCTTCCAGAGAACAGGAAGGCCCGCGACCTGGGGCGTGTGTATCCCCCCGCCCCGTACCCCGGTCTCGGGCGCCTTCCTCACCCGTTCAGCGGGTGTCCCAGGGGCTCGCAGGCGTCGGCTTCCCCCTCCGGGACGAGGCGCAGGACTCCCGCCAGGTCCGCCCGGCACTCCCAGGAGCAGGCGGCCGACAGGCGGCCGGCGGGCGCGACGGGGCCTCCAGCGGCGGGAGCTTTTGCGAGGCCAGCTACCGCCGCCAGGCTGCTGCCGCTCGCCATGGCAAGCAGGAAGCCCCCCGGGCTCTGGGCGCCGAGAGGATGCTACGCGGCGGGACCATACGCGGGCAGCGGGGAAGAAGAAGGGCGGCGGGAGAGGGGCGGTTCTCGAGGGGGGAACTCGGCTTCCCAAGATCGCGGGGCTCACCGGGCGGTTCTTCCCCGCAGGAACTTCCGCCCTTCCGCAGCTTCAACCGTAGACGTATTAGCATATGATAGGATGAAAGCTGGCCATAGAGAAAAGGCGAAGTTTGGCTGTCCGCAGCCTGGATTCCCGGGTTTCTGTCGACGCCGCGGCTCCCTCTGGTTTGAGTGGTGAAACGGGGAGAGCCGCTCACGAGAGACTACGGAGGAAGCCGTTGCAAGGATTTGACCGTATCCTGCCCCGCTCATTCCACGCGCACCCCCCGCCCCAGTAGAAGCAGAGACAGAAGTTCATTCTCGTTGAAAGCCAGGTCTTCTTGTGTGGGGGGCGGGGGAAATGCCATTCGTGTATTTTGTTCTGGTTTTGTTTTGTATTTTAAGATTCGGCTTTTCAGCTCTCAGCAAACTCTGCTCGCTCTAGGAAGAGGGAAATAAACTCTCCAGATTACCCACTCCATATTGCACATGGGGTCTCAAAAAAGGTGCCTTGCGACAACCCTACGACGCAGATCTGACAGTGTCATTAGCCTCCCCCGTTGCAAATTGGGGGGTGGGTGGGCAAGGCTGCAATGTGATGCGGTGCATTCCCAAAATGCAACGTGCTTTTGTGTGTGTGTGCATATATAGAGAAAAATGCATTTGGGTAGTCCTGTAGTGTAGTCCACTGTATCAAACAATATATCCTTGCTATTGTAAACTGGAGGGGCAAATTACAGCTACACAGAAGCACCTCCATGTTGTAGATGGGCTTCTGTATTATGATACAAGCTATATATTACGACACCTGCTATAAACTTAATAACAAACACAACCAAAATATGCAGCTGAAAGCCCGACTTTTGTCTTCAATATATTCAATGACATCCCACTCTCACTTGGATCTCAACTGTAGCCCCAAAAGCAAAGGTATAACTTCACCAGGGTCCTGTATCTTGAACCAAGAAAGATCGTTCTCATAGCATCTCCCCTCCTGGCTATATCTAGGTGACAGAGGAAACAACTTGGATCAAGCATCACTCTTGGCAGATGTTCTCATTGCTGTTGTCATCATCACTAAAGGGTGCGTGATAGCCTTCATGTGCCAAAAGTAGAGCCAAGGCACTGGCTGTTGATCCCACAAAAGCTTGTATAACTAGATAGTGGCTTACAAAAGCACTCTAATAAAATCTTTTTAAAAAAAATCACCTGCTTGATCTTTAGTTGTAGAATATATTGTCACTGGTGCGGGTTTGCAATACTGTATAATACAAAAACTACCATGAATGGAAACAGCAGGACATTTATACAGGAATGGGATATAATGATGTTTTAAGTGAACTTCACTAATACTGTGGCTGTGTACACACACCTTTATAGCACATCCCCTCCCCCCAAAAAAGCAGTTTACTCCCTGCAGAGTTACAGTTCCCAGCAACCTTAAAAAACTTCAATCTCCAGAATTTTTTGAGAGGGGAAATCTGCTTTGAACGTGCTTTAAACAGTATAGTGTGTACACAGCATGAGGATGCAATCTTATATACACTTATTCCTGGGAATAAGTTCCATAGTTCTCAGTGGGACAACTCTGACTAGACATGCATAGGGTTACACTAGGGCAGAGCAATTAATCGAAACCCATTTATGCCTAACTGGTGGGCTGGGATTAAGTAGAGGTGCTCCTCTGCTTGGCTCTCCCGATTGAACCACCTTCCTGCTGCATGTGCAGGCAGGAGGCCCACTGGTGTATTCCTGCCAGCAGAAAGCCCTGAAGTGGGGTGTTCAGAGGGTAGAGAAAGGGTAAGACAGAGCCAGCCCAGGTTTTGCTAGATCCTGAGTTGGTCTCAGAGGTGTTGATTGCCCTTCCCACCCCGTAACACCATTGCTACTGTAAGTGTGCGGATTGTGGATGTGGATCTGGTGGTGGCTACACTTCCCCACAGCACCCTGCAGGTATGGAGGTTCAGAGTTCGGCTTACAGCCTAAAATACTTTATATCATAACCACACCATTATGTTGAAAAGGGACTATTATACACAGGAACGGAGATCCCGTATGGAAATACACATCTAATTTCAGCAAAGGCAAATCTACCTAAATTGCCGCCTGTGTCTCTCCTCCCTCCCCACTAAAAAGAAAAAGCCAGTGCTCATTATATGCAGACATGTTGTGTTCCCTCTTAACACCGTGGTTGCTCCCAGACATAGACAAGTTAATGCTATCCTATCATTGCTGTTCTGTTTTAAACCGGGTGTGGAATAGCAACACTGCTTCCAAACTTCTAGCATTCTACGAAGTGAACAGTCCACCACTCCCCGACCCCAGATGTGAAACCTGTCTGCCTTACAAAACGGTCATAAGATCAAAAACAAATCTTTCCTGCCTACTTGTGGTTAGCAAAAGGAGAAGCGGAACTGTTCAGTTGCATGTCTTCACTGGCCTCTAGAGAATTTTGCTGATGCCAGTTTCCAATGTGGAAACTGGTTTTTAAATATTACTATTATGAGCTGGAGCAAAAGTATATTTCATAGGTCTTCAACTAATGGGTCAGGACCCACAGGAGGATTGCAATGCAATCCTAGGTGGGTTTTGCAAAGTTGTTGCTGCCATGTTGGACTCCAGGTAAGGCTGATGAGCATTTTGCCAGCTTTCATGAGTGCTGCAAAGAGGCATGTGAAAGGCAAGAGCCTTTTTTCAGTTAGGTATTTTTGGCAAACTCTATGGCCCACCTTCCTAAAATTGTGCCTATAGTGAGGGAGCTCTCACCGCTCACTTTTTAGTCTGATTTGATGGCTTTCTAGACTTCTCCAAGAAAAGAAAGACGCTGGGGATTAGAATTCAGAAGTGTCCACTGCGGTTGGTAGCTTGGCTGCCCAGCATGTTGCTGTTGTGGCAGTTCTGGGAGCCCAGGAAGTGATGGCAAAAGTCTGGCTGCAGAAGGTGAGAGAAGTAGGGGTGCCATATGATCCTTGCTCCACTCCCTGAAGCCTGAAATAGGGTTATGTCAAGGGAGAGGTTCATTGCTTGGGAACTGTTCATGGATTTCTCTGTACAGTTGCCACAGTCCTAATGCCTCAAGTGAATCCTTTTTCGGTAAGAAAGTGCATTTATAATTGCGTGTCTCTGCACACTTCTTAGGCAACGATAAAAGAAAAAGAAAACCCAAGGTGCGCACACAGCTATCCCTGTCAGTACTGTACTTAATCAGCAATAGAGAATCAAAAAATTAGATGGTGGGGACATACTCAAAAGGGAACACCTACTGATATGAATGAGAAAGACTTAAGTTGTTCATATACAAAGTCAAATACGTGTGGATGTGGACTACTTTGGTCTAATTCAAACGGGAGGAAGGTGAATTAACAGCTAAATAATGTTTGAATGTGGACAAGCCTTTTTTCCCCTCTAGAGGTTTGCGTTACTTCAGAAGAAATCTGTCAGCCGCCGCTGCATCTGAGAGCATTTCTCTCTTACCCCTTTTTACTTTTTCCCTTGCAAATCTCTTTTTCTTTATTTCCCTGACATCTTTTGATCTCTTCTTCCTTGCATAGTGGACTTACCAGGAGAGATTGCTCATGTCAGAGGTCTGAAGTTGCAGAGGGCTTTTGAATTAAGAAAAAGTACGTAAAATGTAGCCTAGGGCCAAGGATTGACCACCACTGTTTCGGGGGGGGGGGGAGCTTAGTGATTGTCCCTCAATCTGACGCCCCCTCCCCCCACTATTCTTCAAGGCAGGGACTAGGCTGCTCTGTGGGACCTGCTTCTCTGGTGACACATCATTGCACCAGGTTGGGAATTATACACAAACACAAAACATACAAATGCATTGATAAAAAAAACTCAGTTCATCACTGCCAAGTATTTCTACATTGTAGGTACATCACTTTCCATCTTCAGAGCTGCTTTTGAAAGGAATTTTAATATATTTTTAAGGCTGGGTGGGGACCCACTTGCAAATGAAATCATTCTGGTGCAGTTCCTGGTCAGCTGAGTACACGGCTGCAACTTTAGCGACAGCATTGCTGTCATACTTTATTTACTCATCTCATAAGGAAACTAAATCTGCTGGAAGTGGATTTTAGGTCTTTTGTTTCAACATCTCCACCCCACCCACCAGTGTCTGTGCTACAATTCTGAAATAATACACTGTCTAGGATGTCTTAATGGCTCTTTTCCGCTCGCTATCCTATATTTGCTGCAGTCACAAGTGACATGCTCCAGGCTAAAAGGCGGATGTTTTTCACTTTAGTTGTGAAAAAAAGCCCTAGGGCTTTGTAAAATAGTTTTAGAGGAATCTAGTTTTGTCATCTTTACAGTGAGGTGGACAGGTTGCATTTCTCCAGTTACACTGCCTGTAAATGGTAAGTTGACAAACCAGTTTTCTGCAGTGTTGGCTCAGAGAGTCACTTCCCCTTTCCTTGGAAGTGTTATCTGAATTCTTGTGTTACTATGTCAGTGGCCTGCCGTCCTGAGATTCAGTTCTGTTGCTTTATGGCCATTAGGTGGAATTGCTGGGGCATTCCAGGCTGGAGCACCTTAGCCAGCGAAGCTGGAGGAAGAAACCATGTCAGAATGTTGCCTGTATTATTTAATCATGCTAGGACTAACCAGCATTGGAAAACCAGTGCTAACAATGGGTAAGTTCTGCTTTGTTTTCTGTCTGTTTTAAAAGCAATTAGAAGTTTACATTGGCAGCTTGATGCCCAAATCAGTACTTGGAGGGGTGGTTTAGGCTGTGATCTTTAGCACTCGTATAGGGACAAATGTTTATTATGTGCTTCAAAAACAAAAACAAAAAGTCCATTTCAGATCAGGGTTTTAAGAATGCTTCCTTTCTCTCAGAAGAAGTTGTGAATCAGGCAGCTAGAATCTCTTGATGCAGTTCCTGAAATGGAACCAGTCATAGCCTAAAAGGAGCATATTAGGCAAAAGATTCAGTGGTTTAAGCTCCTTATTTATATAACTATGTGGCAAAAGTTTACTTTTCACGCCCACTTCAATCTTTACCAAACAGTGTGGATGCTGAGTCCTAGGATGGAACAGAGTATTGGTCCTGATCAATTTTTGGTAATATGTATTGATTTGTAAGTTTAAATCCAAATGCAGGTTGCATATATACCAACCTAGAAATCCTTATGCCAAAACAAGGAAAGTGAAGTAAACTATAACCCAAATAAACCAGAGCTGGTTAGGAAATTGTGGAAATTAAGCGCCGTCAAATCATCAACTATGTTGAAGAAGCAAGGAGTATACAAAGTCGCATCAAAGAGTTGACATCCCATTGTTCAGAAAAGAAATTGGGGGGGTGGGGGTGGTATTTGGAATAGGAATATATGGTGTGCTGCTGTAATATAAGATAGGTATGAAAGATCACATGATGAAGGACTTATCTTTAAATAATGTGGCGTTTTGGAAATGTTTCAAACTGACATGAGGATCTGTTTTGAAAAATCATTATGCAGAAGAGGGTGTGTGTGCATAAATTAAAGTAGCCTGTGTTCTTTAAAAACTGTTTTTGCTATATTAGCATTCAGCTGTTAATTAGTAGCATGTTTGTTTGTTTTTAAATGAACCTGGTGCATTTCAGTGTGCAAAAGGAAGCTGGTGCATAGTGGGGAGGGAGACTCCTTTCGTGAGCAGAATTACAGGTAACAAAGATAAGTTGTATGTCAGATATGGGGTTTTTAGGGAAGGGCACTCTTTCGTATTTCAAAGACCATTTCTAGAAGATGTGAAGCTTGGTTTGTTTTTAAAAAAGCTGTTTACTCAGTGAGAACCTTTCTATAAACACTGATTAACAGGCTTTATACAGCACCATAGAGGGACAGAATTCTTCCAAGCAAGTTTGCCTGATATTTAAGTAAGAACAGACACCAGTGAGTCAGGCCTGCAATTCATACATTTAATTTATAGTTGCTTCAGTAGCTCAGTGGGTAGAGCCTGAGACTCTTAATCTCAGGGTTGTGGGTTTGAGCCCCATGTTGGGCCAAAAGATTCCTGCCTTGCAGGGGCGTTGAACTAGATGTCCCTTGTGGTCCTTTCCAACTTGTGTTGATAGTTCATCCAGTGACCAACATAATATGTGAACCAGTTAATTTTGTATCACTGAGGTAGTTTAAAGGTATGTACAGTGGTACCTCGGGTTACAGACGCTTCAGGTTACAGACTCCACTAACCCAGAAATAGTACTTCAGGTTAAGAACTTTGCTTCAGGATGAGAACAGAAATCGCGCAGCAGCGGCGCGGCAGCAGCAGGAGGCCCCATTAGCTAGAGTGGTGCTTCAGGTTAAGAATGGACCTCCAGAACGAATTAAGTTCTTAACCCGAGGTACCACTGTACTGTTTTGTATAAAGATAGATAGATAATTTATTACGGTCGGAGACCAGCTTATAGAACACACTTGGGGGTACAGTCACAGAAGGAAAATAAACAATTAAAACAATGTACAATAATAAATTTAAAAACAAAGTACAACAATAAACTACCGCAGGGAGCTGACCAAGAGTATAAAGATATTTTTTACCAAGAATTGGCCCTATCATTAGGTATAAAGAGGTAGCTGCTTCAGGCGGCTGAAGTGGAAGGCTGAGCCATGCGTGCCTCACACAGGCCTGTGCAAAGCTTGTCTGAAGCCCAGGGTAGATGAAAGGCACAGGGTGTTCTTGGCATGACAGCATAAGACCGTCAGGCCCCTGGCAGAGACTCCTGTCTGGCTTAGCCCTCCAAGGCTCAAAGTACCTGGCTGCCCACCACCACACGGGCCTGGCCAAACAGACTACCCAGCACCTGCCAAGCAAATTTGGAGCCCTCAGGTGCTGTAGAAGACACAATCCCACCAACAGTTTTGAAGTAAGATACAGCTACCAGTCTGGGCAGCTTCTGCTCATGGAGGGGTGGGGACACATATATCCATATTTCTTAGACAGCAAAATGTCTTGGGCTCGCCCTGTTTGTAATAATAGACAAAGCAGGTAAGGGGTGCCTGAGAATGTTGATAAAATATAGGTATTTATCACCCCATTTTTGCACAAAGGCATTTTAAGGAGTCAGAAATAAAAAATAGTTGAGAGAACTCTCAGTTCCATGGAATCTAGTATTGGGCAGTCTCTGGATAACTTGTTCAACAGGTGTCTTCTTTGTTTTTAGACGGTCATAAAAAATTTTTGACCAATGGCATATTGCCAACTGTTTGCTCACTTGCTCATTCCATTCCGTTTTTTTTTATTGTAAACCTTCTTTAGACTATAGGATTAGATCCAATTATGTCTGCTCGCTTGTGGAAAACAAACTCCACTCATGCAACAAGACTCCCAGTTTCTCTCCTCCAGTTTCCGTGCCCCCCTCAGTCTGTTCTGGAGGGTGCCCCAACCCTCTGGAGCAGATTTTGAGGGCACAGAGGCTGAGGGCTGTAGAGAGGAGGGGAGGGTGGAGAAGTACCATTGTGCTAGTGGACTCCTGCTTCTGCTACTTTGGATCTCGCACAAAGCCTTTTGCAGGCTTTGAGGAATTAGTTTGTTTTTAACATTTAATTTTTGCGTGGATCCTGCATAAACCATAAAGGCTAGAAATTGTCTAAAATTAAAGAGAGATAAGAAGATTTATTGGACTTGGCAGGGCCAAGCTTGAAGAAAATCTGCTGACCTTGTAAGTATGCTAAGGTTTTGTGGGTCTCAACCTTGTTTTCTATAATCCTTTTACAGGATGAGTCCAGATCCTTTGGGGCATTATAAAATAAATCTTCTTGTGACATTATCAGGCTGGTCTCTCCACAGAAACTGAAAAACTCTAACCTTGTTTTTAGGAGGGTATGCCCATCAGATCTCTAGGCATTCCACATATGAGATTGTAATTCCTCAAAGATTGACTGACAGGGTGAAGCGCTGGACGCATTCTCATAAGGTTTGTTTTTCCTTCAATTTTTGTCCCCCTTTAGTGTTCTTCATATGGTGTCCTACTTGTCCAAAGCAAATAAAAAAGCAAAAGCAGCCATGTTTGTCCATAAGAAAAAATCCATAGCTGTGCAATACCATTATTAGGACCAAACTAAACTTCACAGGGTTGTACCGCTTTTTTGAGTTATCTGAAACTCTTTATCAAACTAGAAGTTAGACAAAGCAGGGGGTGATAGGATAAGGAAGTATTCAAAAAGTACAAAAATTAGGCTAGATGTTGTCGTCTTCTAGACTCAGCTCCCAAATGGAGGCAGCAGGTTGAATAAGGCCCTCCAGGAAAGGGCTGCAACTGGATTACCAGTTCTATCTTAATTTCTTCATTATCCCAGAATCCTAGGTGTATCATCTGATATCTATAGCACCTGGCAGGGACTAGGGTTGTGTACACATTACATGCTTAAAACCCAGCTATGTTATTCTTCTTCTTCAGATCAAAGCATCAAAACACAGTATTTCATTTTAAAAATACAGGATAGATGACTTGTGGCTAAAGTGATATGTACACTGCTTCCCAGACAATTGCAGTGAATGCAGAGAAAACAGGAGTACGTACACAGCCTTATTCAGCCCCTGTTGCGGTCTCCATCTTGGAACTGAGTTTGCTTCCAAATGGCTGGTTTCCTGAGCGTTCCTCATGATTTGTTTGCACAAAGTTTGGGAGAAGGTTATACGATGTGTGGTGTTTATTGAGCCTTCCTTCAGATTTGTTTGCAAGGGGGTTCTTCCATAATGTTTATAAACAAGATAAGCATGTTTGACTTCAGGTCCCAAGCTATGTCCCACCACATTAGCAGAGCAAAGGATCAGGTGAAAGGAGAGCTGTGCCAGCATAATACAATTCCCCGGCATGAATGGATCCAGGGAGGGATCATAGTTCAGTGGTAGAATACATACAAATACAAATACAAATGCTTTGCTTGCAGAAGATCCCAGGTTTAATCCCCTGGGAAAGACTCCTGTTTGAAAGCCTGGAGGGCCATTGACAGTCACTATCAACAATACTGAGGGAGATGAGTCAATGGTCTAACTTGGGATAAGGCAGCTTCCCATGTTTCTGTTTTGTTGGATACTGAGAAGCACTCCAACATGTATTAATAAGGCAACTATGCCTTTTGCCAAATGCAGTGCTCTGGTCATGATCAGTGGCCCGAAGGAGTGCGATGTCATTCCTGAAGGCTGAGCTGTACTGTATCCTGGTAGGTTTACAAAGCAAGCTACGACTATAATTTTAGCTGACAGGCAGCACACAGTGTTGAATGTGCTTGTGCTGTGCTCTTCGAATAGGCTGTTGCTCTAGCTGTGTCAGCAGTAGAAGCCACATTGTGCACCAGCTGCGGCTCGTGTAACCCCCCCCCCCCCAAAAATGCAGAGGATCTATTATAATGGGTAAATAGAAAGAACTAATTGGTAGGAATTAATGCTAGAGTGTGCAATGACCTGCTAGACTGAATTCTGCAGATTTGTTGCCTGTTTAGAAAACTGAGCAAAGCTGTAGCAACTTGTTTTTGATAAGAGGCACTGCTGGTTTTATGAAGATTTAAAGAACTGCGTATTATGTTTTGCATGTGATTTATTTTTCAGGAGCATTTAGATAATCAGTTGTCTTACTTGATCCAAACTGGAAATGGAACACATATCCTGAAATTAAAGAAAAATAAGTATGTTTTACGTATACCATTCTAAGGCCTTTTCATGTTTTATTTTAGTTGATATAATATTTGCAATGAAATCTCATTGGGATGAGTACTGTTGAATGGCAGACTACAAGGGAAGGGATTTTTTATAGCTTGTATTAAAATGTGTATTTGTGTACAAATTATCAGGAATGAGAGGCAAGGTGTAGCAGCTGAGAATTTTTTTTATATTTGTACATGGCTCTTTCATTTGTATACTTAATATATACTTTTCTTTTGGAAAATATTAAACAATCCATCTGTGGTGAACTTAGCTGTTAGACCCAATATGGACCCATGCAGCAGGATCCATGTAGTATGGTGCTCTCTGTGCATGCAAGCAGACTTTTCAGCTTCCTCCTTCCAGAAACAGCCTTCAGTGCCCTTGATGTGCCTCTCCAGTGGCCTCATAGCATCCTAAGAGGAATGAGAGGCTGTACCAGAAAGGGAGAAATTTCGCTTTCTTCTGGGTGCATGCAGAAGTACGGTACACATGGGTACAGGTGTCTCTAGATCCTGGCCTAATTTTTTAACACAAGCTATCTTGGGATGCGGGTGGCACTGTGGTCTAAACCACAGGGCCTAGGGCTTGCCGATCAGAAGGTCGGCGGTTCGAATCTCCGTGATGGGGTGAGCTCCCGTTGCTTGGTCTGTGCTCCTGCCAACCTAGCAGTTTGAAAGCACGTCAAAGTGCAAATAGATAAATAGGTACCGCTCCGGCGGGAAGGTAAACAGCTTTCCGTGCGCTGCTCTGGTTCACCAGAAGTGGCTTAGTCATGCTGGCCACATGACCCGGAAGCTGTCTGCGGACAAACGCCAGCTCCCTCAGCCAGTAAAGCGAGATGAGCGCCGCAACCCCAGAGTCGTCTGCAACTGGACCTAATGGTCAGGGGTCCCTTTACCTTTACCTTGGGATGCAACAGAGAAATTTTGGGATGGGAGCAGTGAAGGGTGTGTTGTGACTGAACTTCATTTGAATCCAGCTGAATTGGCAACCTGAGCCTCAAGTCATAGCAAAGGAATCCAGGAATACCCCTAAACTACATACCCTCTCCATTAGGCTATGTGTCATAAAGAGTGACGTGGGGAAATTGTTGGGATCATTTCAGGATCTCTAAGAAAGAGATCTAAGCAAAACAATATTTTTTTTTAAAAAAAATATTATTATAAGTATCAGTATTTACCCTCCCTTTACTCTAAGGTCCCAGGGTGGGTTACAACAATTAAAACACAATGCTAAAAACAGTTCAGAACAGTTCAGAACCGCAGAAATAAAGTGAGTCCTAAAATTATTCATCTCAAGTGTAAAACGCCAGGGTAGATGAGGTTCTTGCCAAACCACATGCTGATAAATGTGGAGCAGGTAACTCTGGAGCAGGTAACTGCAACATATCAACAGGCTAGAATGGCAACACAACAAAGAGTTAGGGGATCAAATAGTTGCCCACAAGGCAATAAGCACAGCAATCTTATGAACCAGGTCTTCAGTATCAGAAAGGTGTCGTTCCTGGAAAAGCTTAAAATTATCACCAGTCAATACTAATAGTGGTCAGAGTGGAGTGTGGCTGTGTAAACACGCCAGTTTAAAATTGATTCAATGCATTTATTTATTTGTTTTATTTCACTATGTTTATGCACCACTTGATTGTAATGAAACCTCAAAGCGGTTTAAAACCCATGCTCACATATTTTCCTTCTTGTCCACATGATGTTGTCCTCATCCAAGGGGCAGCCTGTACTACCCCACATTAAATTCAGATTTTCCTGATCTGCAGATAATGCAGTAAGGAAAAGAAAACCAACATAAAATAACATGCAATGTATTTTTATGCTTTCAGAAACCTTATTGGTGAGAATTTTATACTATATACCTACAGAAAAGATGGCAAATTGGAGGCTACTCCCTTCAAAGCTAAGGTACAGTAATGGTGGAAGACCCCCTCCATAATGGAGAGACCCCTTTTAGCAACAACTGATTCACTAGGCTGCTATAGATTAATAACTGGATGATTTCAATGAGGATGCAGGTGATGTAATCCCATCTGAAGCAGCTATAGTGCCCCAGGACATTGTCTCACACCCCTGATACCTTTATCTTTCTTGGCCACCTCAAGAAAGGTATTTTTATAGCTAAACAAAAAGAAAAAGGTATGTGTGTGAGAGAGATAGAGAGACAACTCCCTGGGGGCACTAGTCAACTGTGTCTTACTCAGAATTGGCCTGCTGACGTAAATGGATGTAACTTAGCCATGTCTAGTAATTTCAACAGTCTATGCAGAGTAAAAACTTCGGGTTCATCGAGACATGCCCTTGCCTCGCCACTCCTCCCCCCCCCCCCCAGGAAAACCTGATCTTTACCGCTGAATCACAGCAACCATCCATCAGCTTTTCTCCAGATTGGCAATTGCTCTGATTTATTACTAAAGAGCCTAGGGCTTGCTGATCAGAAGGTTGGCAGTTCAAATCCCCGCAACGGGGGGGGGGGCTCCCATTGCTCTGTCCCTGCTCCTGCCAACCTAGCAGTTCAAAAGCATGCCAGTGCAAGTAGATAAATAGGTACCGCTCCAGCGGAAAGGTAAACGGCATTTCCGTGCGCTGCTCTGGTTCGCCAGAAGCGGCTTAGTCATGCTGGCCAGTAAAGTGAGATGAGCTCTGCAACTCCAGAGTCGTCCGCGACTGGACTTAACGGTCAGGGGTCCCTTTACTTTTATTACTAAAGAGCAGGTTTTCTGGTGGAAAGCAGTGGAGCAAGGGCAAAACTGCTTAGACCCGTGCCTAAAAATGCAGGAGAAGCAGAAAACTGCTTGGACAGTGCTTTCTAGGCATTGGTCAAGAGCCAGTCTGGATGAGCCCTTTGTTAAAGAAAAAGAAGAGGAGTTTGGATTTGATATCCCGCTTTATCACTACCCTAAGGAGTCTCAACGCCGCTAACATTCTCCTTTCCCTTCCTCCCCCACAACAAACACTCTGTGAGGTGAGTGGGGCTGAGAGACTTCAGAGAAGTGTGACTAGCCCAAGGTCACCCAGCAGCTGCATGTGGAGGAGCAGGGAAACGAACCCTGTTCACCAGATTATGAGTCCACTGCTCTTAACCACTACACCACGCTGTCTCTCTTGAATTTGGTTTAAATTGCTCTAAACTGCTATAAGATGGTTGGTTAAAAATGCCTCATGTACCTGGAACAGCCTTCCTCAACCTGATTCTCTCCAAATGTTATTGTTGTTTTGAGGCTAGCAGGCTGCAGGGCACCAGTTTGGGAAAACGGCTTAGAAACTGGCCAGAATAAGAGAGAATAGAGAGAGGTTGGATCAACTCACTTCCAAAGGGGAGTGGGAGGTTATAGACCTGCCCTTGCATTGTGTTCTGTTAAACACAGTCCTTGCTATGGTTTGGACCAATTTTTTCTTCTTCTTTATTTGGCAATCACTCGTAGTCGAGTAAGATTGTCTTCCATGAATATGGTCTTAACAGTGTGTCCGTGACTGTGGAGGCTAATTCTGGATCCACACGTCCTCCCACAGTGGGACATAGGTTTCTGGGCGGGAGTTGATCACAATGAGGATTTGCCAAACATGCCTTCCTCTTAGCATGTTTCTCCCTTTCTCCCTGAGCTCGTGCTTCTTCAGGGTAAATAGTAATAATAATAATTTATTTAAACTCCGCACATCTGGCTGGGTTTCCCCAGCCACTCTGGGTAGCTTCCAACAAAAGATTAAAAATACATCAAAACATCATTCATAAAAACTTCCCTAAACAGGCCTGCCTTCAGATGACGTTTTTGGTAGAGGCTATTCTCCAATTGGAGCACTTGCTGGCCAGTGTTTCTAAATTATCTATGCTTATACTGCATTTTTTTAAAAATTGCATTGAGAGCATCTTTAAACCTATTTTGTTTTCCACTGGCATTTCAGTTGCATCAGAATCCAGAAAACTACATAGTGTGTGTGTGTGTGTGTGTGTGTGTGTGTGTGTGCCAATTTGAGTAAACATAGCATAGTTGTGTACACCAAATTACAGGTTGCGCCTGTTGTTTGCATAAGAAAAACACTATTAATTGTTTGGTTTCAGGCCCACTGTTATTACCGTGGAGTTGTTGAAGGGATTGAGGACTCTCTGCTTGCTCTCAGTACCTGTGATGGCCTTAGGTACTACCTTTTCATTCTAACTTCATTTTGAGGCAAATACGTTTTAATCTGTTTGACATTTTATTTTAGAATCAATGGGAGTCTGAGCGCTTGCTTTTGCTACATATTCCAGACACAATCGAGATCTATTGCCTATTTCTTGCCCCCTGCAAAGCACTTCTTGAGAAATCAGTTTCATTCCAGGGGGGGAGCTTATTGCAAATTGATTCTCCATTGGCTCACAAGACAGCTGTTTGAAAACAAATGGAAGTGGTCCTTGCAATGCAGGGGTGTAGCCCCACCTGCCCAATGTTGTGTTGATTGATATAAGAAAAAAATTGCTCCTTTCCCCTTATGGGGTACCCAAGAGCCCATATAGAGTCCTTTTGTAGGTTCTATCGGTATGAGAAAACAGTAACAGAGACCAACCAGAGAATATTGAGAAGCAAAGCAGCTACTAAGCCTGATCTTTATTACCGTAACTGTTGCAACAGGGTGCTCCCCCACACGCAGGAGAGAGGAGGAGGACCCAGAATAAAGGTGTGCCCGCCCTTATATAGACATTTTAAATTGCCCACCCTGGAGTCCGAGACCACCCCCCAGAAGCATCATACATACATCACAGAAGGGGTGTAGCCCAAGACCACCCCTCAGATACATCATACATACATCACAGAAAAGGTGGTCCACAACAGAAATCTGAGTGTGTTGTTTATCTCCTGTCTGGCAAGTTACCTGATTGCAGGTATCTGGGTTTTGGCCATTCTTTTGTTATAATAACTACTTAATTCCTGAATCTAGATCACAGGCCACAGGCTCACACCCTGTTCATATCTTGAATGTGCCCTTAAGACAGGATTTGTGAGGACAGGATTTGTGAGGAAAGAGACAATGGGGAGGTTTCCCACTTTGACCTTGCAGAGAAATATTTGAGGTCAATTTGTTCAGGACCTTTTCTATGGGGTTTCAGACATGTGGTTTATATATACAGTTATGAACATTTATTATATATATATATATGACCTTAAAATTCTTATAACAGGGTGAATACCAAGATCACAGTCAACCTTCTTATAGAATCATAGAATTGCAGAGTTGGAAGGAATCACAAGGGACATTTAGTCCAACTCCCTGCAATGCAAAATGTGGGGCTTGAACCCACAACCCTGAGATTAAGAGTCTCATGCTCTACCGACTGAGCTATCCCAGCAGGGTGATTCATTCATTCACCTGGGACCTGTGCAGGGAAGAAAAGGCACGGATAACCTGATCATGGTTTTCAAATGTGCATCAAGGAAACATACCCCCATTCTTGTAGATGTCAGGATCTAGGATCAGTCTAGATTGAATGCAACCTGTTGAATATGAGCATCAATGATCCTGGTTTAAGGGGGGGGAAAGTACACTTTTGTGCTACTAATGGGTTACGGTGTAGGCAGCCTAGACAGTTAACTTGACTAGCCTTTCGAGAAACTTAACACATTTTCTATTGTTGTAATAAATGCTATTGCTACGAATGGTTTAGCAGTAGTTAACTTAGGCTGAATTGTTATCAATGTGGGTAGGGGTGAGCAGGACACGGCCAGGTAACTTTTCTTGCTTTCTGTGGTTTCAGGGGAATGCTCCATATTGGCAGCAAGCGATATGGCTTGGAACCAGTCAATGGATCAGATCGATTTGAGCACTTCTTCTATGCATTAGAAAACTCTCCCCATGAGCCCTTTTCATGTGGTGTGCCAAATGATGACCACGAGCAGAGCACAAAGACTTTTCTCAAATACACAAATATCTCACACAGTCCCTTCAATTCGGACAAAATTCTAAGGGTAAATAGCATTTGTACATTGTTTTTCGAAAACAGTCTACCTTGTCTAAACTTTTTATTCCAGCTTTTAGCAACATTCCTTTCTGGTTTTTAACTGACACTGGTGGTTTATTTCCAACAAATCTCTCTGTGATACTTTATTTCCATAGTTAAAATATTCCCATAAAAAGGGGGCAAGGATGAAATAGAAAAGGATATTTTCATACTGAGTTAATTTCAGTTTTACTCAGATAATTTGCATTACACCTTTCTGCTTGCTCCATACCCCAGGTGAGTCAAATTATTGTGGTGTTGTTAAGATATATGGTTTTATTTACACACACACACACACACACAGAGAGAGAGAGAGAGAGAGAGAGAGAGCGCATAGGATGGAAGGGCTTACAGCACTGCGCTCCAATAGATCTTTCTTCCCCATTGGTTTCCAGGGAACCCCTAAGTCCAGTTTAGGCTCAGCACAGAGCAAGGCATGTTTTGCTTGCGCACACAATCTACTTAGTTCATGGGTAGGCAAACTAAGGCCTGGGGGCCGGATCCAGCCCAATCGCCTTCTAAATCTGGCCCGCAGATGGTCCAGGAATCAGCGTGGTTTTACATGAGTAGAATATGTGCTTTTATTTAAAATACATCTCTGGGTTATTTGTGGGGCATAGGAATTTGTTCATCTTTTTTCCAAAATATAGTCTGACCCTCCACATGGTCTGAGGGACAGTGGACCAGCCCCCTGCTGAAAAAGCTGACCCCTGCTATAGTTCTTATACCTAGAATCATGTGACAACCAGCTAGATGAGATGAGTGGGGAAAATGACTAGCATCTCTTAGTTGTAGCTATTGCTGCCTTGCTTATTCTTTGAGATCTTGATTTTAGGGCACTTAATTGAGCAGCCAAAGCCGTTACCTTAGCAAAGGAACTGGTTTGCCAGGTTCCACAGCCTCTTCTACTAGATTCTAACCCTTACTGGATACAAGATCACAGGATGAGATCCAAGGACATAATCTAGACTGACCCCCCCCCCCCAACTTACAATGGTGCGTTAGAAAAATTATAGAATGCCAGTTCAGCCAACGAAATGGCCTTTTCCTTAGATGCCTGGCACCTCCTAAAACATTTTATTTACTTTTTATAGTTAGCTTATCTATTTAAAGTACTTCAAAATAAAAAAATGCAGTGTGGAAATATATGTAATGTCATGTGGTCTGTTTTCCTTGTTACAGAGAAGGCGAGCCGTTCTGCCAGAGAAGAGATATGTCGAACTGTATATGGTTGTTGATAAAAATAGGGTAATTTCTCTCTCAACCCAATGCATTTTGCCAAAGTATTTGAATTTTTTGCTCTAGAACATCTTATATTTTGAATTGTTTCAGTACTTGCGGAAGAAATCTGATGCTGAAGCTGTACAAAAGGAAACAGTAGAACTGGCTAATTATGTTGATGGGGTAAGTCATCACAGAGACATTCATCAGACTTTGCTTTATCACACTATTTTACAGAAAATGTCAAAACACAACAGTAATATTTTCTTCAGCAACTGGATTATATCAAATCAGTAAGTGTGCAGAGGCTAATTGCATGGCCTGCCTTAGCAGAATCAGGCTCTTCTTATGTTCAGATGTGTAATCGTTTTGTTTATTGCCAGGCTTTGCATACTGTGGACTTCAGCAAAAATTGTGCTTAACAAACGCTCCAATGCTCCTTCCCGAAGAAACCAGAAGCATTCTTGTTAGCTATAATAGGACAGCATATTCCAGCTAAAGTTTAAAAACCTCTTCCTTTACACAACAGCAGCAGCAAGGTTAAAGGTAAGGGGACCCCTGACCGTTAGGTCCAGTCGTGGCCGACTCTGGGGTTGCGGCGCTCATCTCGCTTTATTGGCTGAGGGAGACGGCGTACAGCTTCCGGGTCATGTGGCCAGCATGACTAAGCCGCTTCTTAATCTGGTGAACCAGAGCAGCGCACGGAAACGCCGTTTACCTTCCTGCCTTGAAGTGCTTTCGAACTGCTAGGTTGGCGGGAGCAGGGACTGAGCAACGGGAGCTTACCCCGTCGTGGGGATTCGAACTGCCAACCTTCTGGTCGGCAAGTCCTAGGCTCTGTGGTTTAACCCACAGCGCCACCCACGTCCCTAGCAGCAAGGTTACTATATGCTAAAATGTGAGAGGAGAGGGAAATCATGGCAAAGGACCAGTGGTTGCTTAAACTAACAGAATATGTCAAAGTAGCCTCTACGATGGCCAAAATAGGAAATACAAATAGGAAAACAGTGGTAAGCGAGTGGGAACAACTAGAAGGGTATCTAAAACAAAGTGGTATAAATATAAATTTGCAAGTAGGGATGAACATATGAACAAGTAAACAAAACAAAAAGTGAAGCACAGAGGAGGAAAAGAGTAGAAAACTCAGAGTTGCAGCAAACCAAAGAGACTGAAATAGGTTGTCAAGGAAAGATAGGTTGGGAAGTCCATACGAGATGAGATAGGAGAAAATGTATGTAATGGAAATAAATATAACTGATTGTAACTGAAAAATGCATATACAAATATTTTTTTAAAAAAGAAAGAAAATGAATCCAGTCAAGATATCTCTGGGAAAAACTATTTTATTCTGGTGACCTCCAATTAAAAAATTGTGCAGTCGTACCTCGGAAGTCGAACAGAATCTTTTTCCAGAAGTCCTTTCGACTTCCAAAACATTTGACTTCCAAAGTGCGGCTTCTGATTGGCTGCAGGAAACTCCTGCAGCCAATCGGAAGCCCCATCGGGTGTTTGGCTTCCAAAAGAACATTCGAAAACTGGAACACTCACTTGGCAAACCAGGGGAGCTTTTGAAGAACAGGTACTCATTCAGGAAATCACAAAGTTCCCATTTGAAGAGTCATCAGTCCTGATACCGGCCAAGTATCTGTAATCCCACTGTTAAACTTAAAAACCAAGGATTTCATTATTACTTCATTGCAGTCAACGGTGTGTTGGTTTGTGTGTCCTCCTAATTTAAGAGAGAGAGAGAGCTTTGAGATTGGAAAATGCTTCACAGGGCATCTAATGTGAAGACAGATTTTCAATAGTGCTGATAGAGATAAACAGCTATGCTCCCATGGCCTGGGGCTAATGGAGAGCTTTTCTCATTATCTTCCTGAGTGTTGTTTGTACATGGAAGCAGGTTTAAGAGCAGCTGATCTTAAGCAACTTTACTCTGAAATAGGTCCCACTGTGCTCCTGAAGGCTACCTAAGTTTGCTGGAGATTTGCAGCTTGTGTCCTTTCTTGCGCGCTCTCTCTCTCTCTCTCTCTCTGTGTCTTTCTCCAGCAACACAAAAGCACCACAGATTTACCTAACAGCAAGGGCGTCTTACCCAAAGAGGCTAGTGGCACGGTGTGCCAGGGCGTCAAGTTCTGGAGGGTGCCAGGGGAGAGATGGAGGCTGGATGCAGCACCTCCCGTCATCAGCTCGCCGCCCTCGCCCCCCTCCGCCATGCCGCACCGAAGCAGCGCTGCATCCGGAGCCTCCGTCTGCCATGGCCACCGTGGCACAAAGTGGCCAGCTGAGCTGGGAGGCGCCACAGCCAGCCTCCGCCTCTTCCCCACCGGAGGAACTGCCCTCCAGCCACTGCCCACCTCCTCCAGCTCCGCTGGCAGCACTGTCCTCCCTAAAAAACTCTGGGAAATGGGGGGGGGGGCGCCAGAGGGAGCTTTGCACCACGACGCCGGATATGCTTTAGATGGCCCTGCCTAACAATAAAATTACTCTTGAAATTAGGGATATAACTAGTGATAAAAATGTTGCCAGAGCCCACTTCTTTGGTGTTCTTAAAAAAAACATTAGACAGCATTATGAGCGCCACAACCCCAGAGTCGTCCGCAACTGGACCTAACAGTCAGGGGTACCTTTACCTTTTTACTTACACCATAGCAGTGTAAAATGGAATTATATCAGGTGGAGAGCTCTGCCAACTGGCTTAATGCCCTGTTAACTCTAGTTAGACAGGACTGCCCAGTAACCTCCCACCACCACAGCTCCCTACATCTTGAAAGGCATTGCGGAGCCATGTTTCACTATTTCAGCAGTGTCAATTGCTACTCCTGTCCCTTTGCATTGAGTATGTTGTGGATTTTTTTAATATCTCAAACCCCACAGTTGCTCATAGGCTCCTTGTGATTTAGAAATATTAGCACCACCACCCTGCAACCTGGTGTGGTTTTTAAGAGCCCATGAAGCCAGTTTTGGCAATCACGGTACTTTAGGTCATTTGTGAATGTGTGCTTGTTACACTAAGTTCCATTACACTCCTGAAGAGTCCTGTTCCCCAACACAGATACAGTTCTCATTGGGAGCAATGGCCTTTGGTGAAATGCTTAAAGGTTGGGTGACCGTGGGATGTGAATCATATGCAGAGCTTGTTTAGATGTACATCTGTATGCATGATGGGGAGCACAATTCATCAAAAAAGGTGTTGTCTTTACTGTGTTGAATGCATAACTACTGGGAGCAGATGAAGCAGAGGTGGCTCCTCTACCTTCCTTGTAGCATGACCTTCCTTTGGGGGTAGAGGTGGACAAACACCAAGGATTTGGGGGAACAATACCTAATCAAATTCTTATATCTTCATAATAATGACAATTTTGTATGTGCAGATGTTCAGTCCTTTAAATATACAAGTTGTCCTAATTGGGCTAGAAATATGGACTCAAGGAAACCCTATAGATGTGGATAGTGGTTCAGCTGGAGATGTGCTGGGCAAATTCGCATCCTGGAGAGAGACAAATCTCCTGAAGAGATCACGAAATGATGTCAGCCACCTCATCATGTAAGGTTTCCCGTTCTCTGCATAAACCTATCTATGATTACTGACTGGGACCTTGAACTCTTGAGATTCTGCTGCCCAAGGGAACAACTCAGTTTAGGAAACTGCACTTAACCTGCATGCTTCATATGCTTTGTCGGGTCACGTGTGTGGGTTTTCCCCTTCAGAGTGTGCAATTTTAAGTTCTGAGAATCTGGCAGAAGATGTGGGTTGAGTGCCTTGTGTGTGTTCTTGTTTTTTTATCTTGGGAACTGGCCGCTATTTAAAGAGAGGTTGTGGTTCATGGATTAATCCAAGGTGGAGAGGGATAGGGCTGAGAACAAAAGTGACTGGCTTGATAGTTGTGTTAAGTGAGGAGAAGAACATTTCTCCCAGCCCCACCATCACCCAGCCACAGAACACATGTGAATCTAGGAAGCTGCTCAGACCACTGGTCAGTGGCTGTCCAGGGTTTCTCCCAGCCCTGCAAGGAAATGCCAGAAGCCTTTGAACCTTTGACCTTTCTCCTGCTTTGCCACTGAACCATACCTGGCATACCTGGGCTTTATACGTTCCTGGAGTTTTAGCAGAAAGAACTTTAACAAACAGGTCTTGACCTTATTCCTGCAAGCAGGAGGACTCAGCATGTTTTTTTTTCTGATGTGAAAGTTGAAATTCTTGTATGTTCTGTTAGATTCCATATTAGATGTCACAGATCACACTGCACAGCCCAGAACATATTTGAAATGCACTACATTCATTCTTTTCCTGCATTGCAGAGGGAGAAGTGCATTTGGTGCAACGGTTGGAATGGCTTTTGTTGGCACAGTCTGTAGTCCGAATCACGGAGGGTCAATCAGCACAGTAAGTACACTATATTCTCTCAGTTGTGGACATGTTGGCCTATTAAGTAGAAAATTCTTGCACCTGCCGTGCCAAATCCAGCCAATTCAACAGGACCTTAAGATTTGCCATGAGGTTGCTTGTTATATTTATCAATTATTTTATTTAAATACATACACATAGTGTTTGACAGTAACAGAATCTCTAACTGGATTACAAAAAAATTGTTTTTCAGATATGTAATGAAGGGCTCTACAAAGCAAGATGTCTTAGCAAAGTGTCCTAGCAAAGGCATACCTACATCTACATTGTATACATTTAGTCCAGTTCTTGATTATGGCAGAGCTTCAGTCAATTTTTGCCTTGATTATATGTTTAGACATGCAGTCAACAGCAAAACAAAATAACCACTCATTAAAAAGGATTATAGTGAGCAGAATGATAATTTCTGGTATAGCTATCTGCAGTGCAATGGGAAGGAGAATCTAATTTTGTACTATGATAGCTCAAATTCTATTTCAATTAAAAATGAAAATTAATTAGAGCCGTATATGTTTTCTTATTTTTAAAATCAATCCAACCTCTTGCACACGTTTCTGTGATTTTATAAGGCATGATTATACTTTTTGAAGCATATTCCATGGACTGCACAGTGCAGTTCTCAACATCTCTACTTGGAAACAAACTCCACTGAGTTCAATGGGACTTGTTTCCAATAAGTGTCTATAGAATCAATGCTTAAGAGCTGTGCTTTAAAATAAGAAAAAAATGACAGTGTTAAAAATGGAAGCTAAGGGTGTTGCAGAAAGTACTAGATGCTAGATTCCATGCTTGCTGGTATCGCTGAGGGCTGATGAACACGAGCTGGACAAATCCTAACTTGAAGTAGAACACTATGCAGTTAATTAAGAGTTGATAAAAGATTGTAGAACATGGACTTCTATAATATGAGTAATAATTATAGGGCAGAAGTTTACTACAGTATTCTTTTTATAATGCTCTATTTGAACTATTCATGATGTGTTAAATAGAATCGACCGCTCTCTCTCCCCTCCATGAAACAGGATACAGTAAGGGAGGGGGGCAGATAATTAGTTTTTGCCTAGACAACAATATACCTTGAGTTGGCTCTTCCTGTACTACTCTGGTAAGTCTCTCATACGATTGTGCCTATGGGTGTTATTTAACTAGACATTAGCACTAAGACAAGGGGATTTCACACTGTCTCGCTCTGCATACCACCATTTCTGCTCCAGAGGGTTGGAGAAAACCCCAGAACTGATTTAGTGGGCAGGAGACAGGGCAAACATTCCCTTGCACAAGGAGAAATACTTGCACAGATGGAACATTCTCCATAGAGCTAGGCTGAATACAACCATAGATGTGTATTCATATTTCCTTGTTCCATTTAAGCAAACGGAGTGAAGAAAAGAGAACTTTCCTGCCTTTACTATGATGGATTGTGGGGAAATGGGCTGCTAATCTGTAAATCAGTAATGGGATGCAAAATTTACTATGTAATAGTATACATTGGTTGGAAGCCTTTGAAATATTAAGCAGTTTAGAAATGCTTTTTACGTAAATAAATATGATATGGTATATGATATTAACCATGTTCTCCCAAGATCCTGAATTAACTTCCAGCTAGGGGATTTTCTTGATTAACCAGAAGTGTTGCTCCTGGTAGTAGATAGATCCCTAGGGAATTCGCAGTCTAAATTTTAATGTCAGAAGGAGAGCATGGGAAGAGAGAATAGAGAAATGAGGTATCTGCGTATGGTTTCCCCCCTGTTCATATAGGCAAGGAGGAACTGTTGCTCCAGAGGTTCTATCACTTCCCATAATGCTAACACTGTCGATCTCTTCGCCAGTTTAACCATGACGCTGTGATAGCTCACGCTACAGTTGTTGCACATGAGCTAGGACACAATTTGGGTATGAATCATGATGACGGAAGATGTCCAGGTCAATACATTATGCACAGTTCAGATAAGTAAGAGCTCTTATTTATTTTATTATAGCAACTTGTATTATTTATTTTTAATCTGTAGATTGGGGGTCTATCTGCCAATCTTCTGTTGGTGCTTAAGATCAATCAAAGGCCACATCTGCGCTATACACCTAAAGCAGTACCAAACCACTTTAAACAGTCATGTCTTCCCCTCAAAGAATCCAGGGAGCTGTGATTTGCTGAGACTTCTATTCCCTTCACAGAGCTACGATTTTCAGAGTGATTTAACAGTCAATCCATCTTCTCAGGTGGGCCTTATGGGTGGCCCAGCTCTGTTCCTTTCCTTCTTTTGCAAAAAGCGCACACAGTTTTCATTCCTTAAAATGGGAAGTAGATGGTATTGATAAGACGATGATTTCTAGTGTCAAAATGCACTACTTCATAGTCTGGACAAATAGATATGCAAAACACAAGCAATTTTTTGCTTTCCAGCGGGTCCAAGAACTTCAGCAGCTGCAGTGCCAATGATTTTGAGGACCTCATCTTGAGAGGCAGAGGAACCTGTCTTCGAAATCCTCCCAAGCCAAGTGATATTTATACAGAGCCTGCCTGTGGCAACAACATTGTGGATAAAAATGAAGAATGTGATTGTGGTACACCAGAAGTAGGTGTTTCTTGAATTAATATTATTTAGATATAGAATTCGGTGCATTAATTTGTTCCTCCCACTACCCCCACCCTGTGTTTGGTGTAGTGCAACAGAGAGTTAGTGAATTTTTTTGTCCAGTGCTACTCCAGACTGAGTCAAAGAACAGGGCAGGGGAAGAGGAGGTTTTGTATCTTGTTTGACCACCCCGTCACCCTGACAGATGTGGAGGTTACCACCGCTCTAGGCAATGTGCAGCATTTCTGTCTCCTTTCTCCCTCACACCTGCTCTGTTAGGCATGGATAGAGAAAAGGGTTATGAGAACAAGGAGAAATCCATGTGTAACAAAAGGTAAATACTTAATAATCACATCAAGAAGGGATCACGAAACGGGAGGTTTTACTGCCATTTATAACACTGAATGGGGTGGGGGTGGTGCAGATGATGCTCATAGGTACCAACTGAGACTTTAATCTTGTATCATCAGTACTGTAGTTTGTAGTAGAAGAAACTGCTAAACTTGTCAAACTAGTTTGTTTATTCATAGTTGACTGGCCATAGCTGGTCCTGTAAGCACCAACCATTTGCATGTATAAAGAGGTGCTGGAGAATATATGTGTTTTCAGTGAAACAATGGGTGTAAGGCTTCTTCAGGAGGGACAGGGTTTCTACGCCTCCCTTATCTAGATGGAGATAAATTAGGGTTGCCATATTTTGAAGAGCAAAAAGGAGGACACATTTGCCAACTTCCACTTTTAACTACAAATCACTATGATGACTCTCATTTTAAATACTTCTACTATATGTAGGCTATAGAAACTGTGATATATTGCTAGTGGCAATGTTCTCAACTTTCAACAAACATCCTTTAGATGTCAATGTGTATCACCACAGTTGGAAGTAAGCTGGCCCTGCTGTCTACTCTGACGACACGACATCAATAGCAGCTCCACACATCGGGCAGTAAATAGCCTGAATAAATGTGGACTGTGCTATACAGACTCCACTCAGGATGTGCTTAAAAGTCAAACTGTATCCCTTCAATTAGTTGACTAGTACAGCAGGGCAACAGGTTTTTTCCTTCCACCTACTGGGCTAGTTTACTCGATGCACACAGCTTTAGTTAGCATCCAAATTACGACATGCATCCTCCACCCCGGAAATTTTTAGTGTCACAGTCCTTAATTTCAGTGCCTCTGTGTAAGGGGTAGAGGCGCCTTACCTGCGCACCTGAGACAAAGAGAGCTGTACAAGTAAAAACCACCCTCTCTTTACATCCACACACCCCTGGTTCCCTTTCTAAGCCCCTGGAGCAAAGATAAAAGATTCCTACAGAACATTGGTTCACTGCAATGGAAACTAGTGGGTGGAAATGCCCAGCCAAATTCTCTTCTCTGCACACCCCCCCAAGCAATAAACTAAAACACGCATAGCGTGATTCTGACCAGATCTACTCAGAGGCAAGTCCTAATGAATTAATGGGGCTTTCTACCTGGAAAATGGGGGGTTAGAATTGCAGCCCTCCAAATCAAAGCCTCTAAAAAGAACAGAAGACACGTGCACACACCCCCAGTTGAAGGGGACTCTCTAAGGAGGGATTCAGTTGCTTTTGACAATTTAGCACTCAAGTGTCCAACTGAAGTCTTTTTTCTTAACAGGAGTGCACCAACCCTTGTTGCGATGCTGCCACGTGCAAACTAAAAGCTGGATCAGAGTGTGCTGAAGGATTGTGCTGTGAGAAGTGTCAAGTAAGCTAGATTGCCCTTTCTGTACCCGTGCAGCACAATGCTATGCATATTTACCCAGAAGCAAGCCCACTGGAGGGCAAGGAACAGCCATGAGGTGTTAGAGAACAGAGCTGTGTGTGTCACCCTGCATGTCCTGCTCCCCCTAAGCTAGCTTAGGTGTGGCAGAGGATGCTGATCCAGAACCAGTGCTGAAGCAAAATTGAGCTACTGGTTCAGTGAGGAATGTAAGAAGGCACTGATTTCTGTTCCGCCTTGTACTTGTCCTATGCAGTGCTGTTTCCATTCCACTGCAGTTTGGCTTCTGACAAAAACAATGCTACTCGTTTCAGTGTCCTCTATGAATTTACATAATTCATTTGTAATCATTACTCTACACCATTAATTTCAATGTAAAGGAAACAATGCAAATGGAAGGCATGGAGGTAATAAATTACATACCATTTGCACATTGAAAACAGCACCAATGGTGAATACCGATTGCATCCTGCATCAATTTCTGTTCCAGATATAGGATGAATAAGCAAACACCTGCAATTTCTGCTTGCATTTCTTGCAGAATTCGCCAACATCCCTGGTTTCAGAACATGGAATTGGTGGGGGTGGGAAGTGTTCGGAGAGCTCCATCTTGTTCTTGTTCTTCCCCTCAGGCAGCAAAATTTACTGGGCTGGCCCTGCTTCTTGCCTTTTTTTTTTTTGCCATGGTTGGAACAACCGCACCTTCTGCCATATTTCCTTCAGTATAGCTAGCAACCCTATCAACTTACCCTTTTATTGAAGCTGAGCACTAGGAACTGTTCCTGCCTCTTCTCCCTTTTTACAAGCTTCTGTCACAGGCATTTTTACTCCTCTTTCCACATATGTGTCAGTTCCACATATTGTTATAGCATTTTTGTTATGGTTACCAAGCAAACGAAATAAATAAAATTCTGTTTTCTAGTTCAAGGTTGCAGGAGTGCAGTGCAGGCCAAAAATGAATGCCTGTGATCTCCCCGAGTATTGCAATGGAACATATCCCAACTGCCCAGATGATGTGTACATCATGGATGGCTACCCATGCAACAATATGAAAGACTATTGCTATGCTGGAATTTGTCAGAATTATGATTCTCAGTGTGAATCCCTCTTTGGAAAGGGTATGTTTTAAATGGTTTATAGCCCGTGTAACACAACTGATATTAAGTTCGCAGAAACAGCTATGTTACACATTAAGAAAACGGACTATTTTTGACAAATACGGTTCTGTTGTTTTTATAGGAGCAAAGAAAGGGCCAAATGCGTGTTTTGAAACAGCCAATAGTAATGGAGACAGGCTCGGCAACTGTGGAATGTCAAAAGGAGAGTTTGTTAAATGTTCTCAAGCGTAAGTACTCAGGAAGTCATATTTATACTCTGTTGCTTCATGGAAGCTGAAACCCTGATGGATGGTGGGCAATGGCTTCATAAACCATGGTTTATGAAACTGTAGCCAAGCACCACAGGCGGTTTTAGGTGGTTTGACTGGTGCAGTCACACTGGGTGCCACGCTGCAGAGGGTGACAAAATAATGCTTTTAGAATGGAGTGCAAGAGGCAGGGGTGCCGAATTTTAGCATCACACAGGGCCCAAAGTTCACCACTGATGGTCATCTCTCACACTTCCCCATTTACTATCATGCATTGGTTTTGACACAAACATTCTAGTTGGCATCAAGCCATTATGTTTAAAGCAGGGGACCCCAGCTTAATGCTGGTTAACAAATCAGAATACAATCCTGGTTTATTATCCTCATTAGTTAAATGATATTAAGCCAGAGTCCCCCAGTTTGGATGTAACAGGGAACTCTGGCTTAATGCAGGACTGAATCTTGAAGCAGCTGGCACACAATGGGAAGGAGAAACACATGGCCACAGTGCATTCCCACAGCTTCATAAACCATGCAGGATAGCTGCTCTGAAGCCGATACATGTGGTCCAGACTTTATGCTGTTAAACTGCTAATATGGATCATCTAGTTTGTACAAACATGTGATTGGTGGCATTTTAAAAACTGGAGCAAACAGAAGCATGTATGCTTGTATAAACATTAGAAGATGGGGGGTATTTTGATATTTACTCTGGTGTTCCCTACTTTCTTAATTTTTGTATTTCATTTTTATTGCAGCAATAGCCTATGTGGCAAAATTCACTGCACATCTGTCAGTCAACAGAATCTTCCATCCCAGATATACAGCCAGATTCAAAATGGCGTTAGGTGTGTGACTACTGATTTTGCTCTGGGATCAGATGTTCCTGATCCAGCTTTGGTTAACAGAGGCACAGCTTGTGCAGAAGGAAAGGTAAGAGAGTGTCCTTCACATCACCAACTCCCTGCTCAATGATATAGCTGCAAACAGGATTCAATTACAGTCCGAGTTGTGTCTGTATTTCCAAAACTGCCTTTTTGTATTGTTTGTATTGCCAACCATTTTTTTCTAACCCTATCCCCTGACAAGCAGCAATTCCACAGTTGCAGCTATTCACTTGCTACCTGCCATATAGCTTTAGAAGGCACAGATGCCATGCCTGGGAACAAAAAGCCGATTTGTATCTCATGGAAACCTTATAATAAACCATCCACAGAAACCTGGTTCCTTAATTGTGTGCTTCAGGTTTCAGATGTACAGTGGTACCTCGGGTTACAGACACTTCAGGTTACATAAGCTTCAGGTTACAGACTCTGCTAACCCAGAAATAGTACCTCGGGTTAAGAACTGTGCTTCAGGATGAGAACAGAAATTGGGCGGTGGCAGCGCGAGGCCCCATTAGCTAAAGTGGTGCTTCAGGTTAAGAACAGTTTCAGGTAAGAATGGACCTTCAGAATGAATTAAGTTCTTAACCTGAGGTACCACTGTAATGTTAAGCCATTGTTAGAGTTATATGCACAGGCTGCAGCAAGTCTCATGCTGGCACCCAGCCTCCTTCCCTCTCTAGCACACACCAGAGGATGAGATTTGAAGCATCCGCTTCCATCTTTAAACTTACCAGAGTTCCCCACTGTGCCCAAACTCTGGTTAGTTAAAACACTGGCTACCCAAACAAATCAGAATCATAAACCGTGATGTGATTCAAGCTTGCTTGAACTAGAGTTTAAAGTATCCAGAGTTCCTCACCTTCCGACACAAAGGTGTGGCGCAGTGGTTACGGTGCTGGACCAAGACCTGGGAGACAAGGGTTCAAATCCCCATTCAACCATGAACCTCGCAGGGGGACCTTGGGCCAGTCGTTGCCTCTCAGCTTAACCTACCTCACAGGGTTGCTGTGGGGATTAAATGAGGAGAGGAAGACCCATGTATACCACCTTGAGCTCCTTGGAGAGTAAAGAAGTGGGATATAAATGCAGCAAATAAATAAATAGTTGAATGTGAAATCTTTTGCTCTCCTTTTCTTAGTTGCAAAAGAGTTGTTTAGGGGGAGGAGGGATGGTGTGAGCCCAAGGCTTATTGTGGTTCACGCAGGTAATTCTAAGCTATGGTTTAGTGTTACATCCAAACTTATGATTTAGCATGAAGTCTGAGCCTGCCTGTTGTTTCTGCATTACACTTTGGTATTTTTAAAGACATACTTTCCAACTTTAAAGCTTGCGTTCCTTTTTCTTTTTTCAGGCCTGTGTTGATTTCAAGTGTGTCAATGCAAGCCTGCTTGGCTACAATTGTGATGTAAAGAAAACATGCAATGACCGTGCAGTAAGTAAGAAAATGATGATCCTATTATTCTAGTGGTAGAGCAGAAAAAATATTCCAATATTCTGGCTATAAAAGCAGTTCAGCTATTGAGAAAATTTTCTTGCAGTCTTTATTGCCCACAGAAACAATTGCTGTAAAGGAGTGGGCAGCATGTGGTTTGAATAGCTATTTCCTGCACCTTGCCATCAATTTTGTGAAGCCCTCTTAGTATGGCTTTCAGACCAGTTTCAAAAATCAGGATTCTGCACTATACAGAATCGTAATTCTGAACCCGTTTTGGTGCTCTGTTCCCATGTATTTGCACAGTAGCACCAAGCATGCCACCCTGAGCCCCTTTGGGAGAAAAGGTGCAATATAAATTTAATAAAATAAGAAAACAGTTTGTTTTTTATTTAACAAAATTTATATACAACTTGATTGTAGCAAAATCTCTAAGCAGCTTACAAGAAATATTAAAATGATTAGCAGCAACAATTAGAAACATTTAAGAACAATTGAAATATTTGGCAGCCCACCTGTTTTGTACGTGGGAACTATCATGCACGCTGCTGGTTTCAGCAGACACAATCTGGAGCCAGACAATGGAACATAACATCATGGAACATATTTAGAAATGGCATATCACTAAATCAGGCCCGTATTCTTTATTCCATAGCATACATATCTGTTGTTTGCTCTGGTTGTACTCATTACTTTTTTTCTGCCGAAGTAAAAGGAAAGCTGTTCATCGTAGCATCCTCAATGAAGTCAGAACATAATGGGGCCTAATGCAGGGTGGAGAACCCCCTGTTTGTTCCTAGACTTCTGCTCCCATCATCCCTGACCAACGGCCAACAGCTTCACCATCCCTAACCTAATTCTTCACCTCTTTTTTGGTCCTTCTTTCCTGTAGGTATGTAACAACAAAGGCAATTGTCACTGTGATCCTGGATGGGCACCTCCTTATTGTGACAAATCTGGATACGGTGGTAGCATAGACAGTGGCCCAACTCACATAGGTAAGAATAAGCTAGCGCAGGGTTTCCCAAACTTGGCCCTCCAGCTGTTTTGGACTACCATTCCCACCATCCCTTACCACTGGTCCTGCTAGCTAGGGATTATGGGAGTTGTAGTCCAAAAACAGCTGGAGACCTAAATTTTGGAATCCCTGAGCCATAGGGATTAGGCTGGGTATGAAGAAGGTGGTGCTGGATGCGGAACCTTCTCTTCTGCTGCACCATGACATTAATCCTAAATTAAAAGCAAAACAAATAATTTTCATTGCCTTTTCTCCTTTAGATACATCACTTCGTGATGGCCTGCTGGTGTTTTTTCTGCTTGTGTTGCCTCTGCTAATTATAGTAGTGGTTGCAATTGTCAAGAGGGATGCAATTAAAAGACGTATTTTCAGAGGACGGAGAAGACGCCAAAGGTATGAAAAGAATAAGATTGGTTTTTAAAAACCAGAAATGTGACAAGGTTAAGACAGGCAGTGTTAAAACAGTGAACAGCAGCAAAATACTGTATCTAAAATAATGAAAATCAGTTGTGGCCCCAGGACTTCGGATTGCCTTCTCCCAGAAAATTGTGTGTACCAGAACCAAATTGAATATTTAATGGAGAAAGACATGTATTATTTTAACCTACCTGTTTACGTTATGTTTTAAGGGCTGAAAATGCACGGCAAGCAAGACAAAGCAGCACTCCAGGTGGACCAAAGCCACCAGTAAATAATAGGCGGGTAAGAATTTTTTTTTTTCATTGCAATGTCTTCATTGAAGTTACTGCTGATGAATGAAGTTTGGGCTAATGTTTCAGCTCTCCATAGGCGCTGTGAATTTGACAATGATTTTCCATTCAGAAATGCAATTCTGCAGAAGGTTAGATCAGTTACATTAAAACAGTGCATGGTATTTTGCTAGAATGAAAAGATGCAGTAAGCTTCACTGTTGTGGTAAGAACCATGAATTCTCCTTACGATACATTTCTTTTCCCTCTGCAGCCTACGACGTCAAATTCTGGAATCTTTACGATATCACACTTTCCTGCTCCAAGGTTTGCACTTTTAAATCTTTTCAGCATAACTTTACAGGCCTACAATCAGGGCAAACATTTAAACTGAGCAAATACTGGAGATTCAGCAACATTTGAACTTCCCACTGAATTCCCTTCTTAGAGAGCCAATATCCAGGGAAAGATTCCTTTAATCCCGGTTCCCTGGTGTGAATATCAGCAAGGGCTTCAGCAGTATTTTGCCCATAAACATTTCTCCTGTTCACTTCTATTTACCTGTGGCTTCACTTGTGCAACGAGTGCACAGTTGATGTGCATGAGGCGGTAACCAACCATGGCTCGTTCCAGAATGTTATTGGAGTACAATTCCCATCATCCCTGAGCGTTGGATATGCTGGCTGGGGCTGATAGGAGTTGTGGTCAAAACAAGGGTACCTTGTTGGCTACCCATGGCATAAAGGGGTAGAACTCTGGCTGTCGTTCATACAGCTGTCATTCATACAGAGGATATTGTTGAAATAAGTAAGTAAGGAGGGAGGTAGGGAGGTAGAAGTATTCATTATGTTTCTAGAATGTCTATCTCTGTTGACCAGCCTCTGAAATATGCCACCAAACACAAACTACTAATGCTGCATTTTATCTCCTTTAGGCCACCCATACAAGCAAACCTTGGGCCACGTCCATCAAGACCTCCTTTACGACCACCAATCCCACCCAGACCTGTTTACGCAACTCCATCCTGAGAAATTCTCAAGAGGGTTAGATGGACACATTAAACATCTAAGAGGGTAGCAGAAATGTGCCAGTGCTAAACCTGTTACATATTTTTGAAAGTATTATTTTTTATCGATATACAAATGAAGACCTCATTTTAATTTCTAAAAAAACTGTTGAAATGGTAACAAAAGAATATGGGAATTTTTTTTCTGAATCTCTAGACAGACTAAGGCTGCCTTAATCATTAGATCAGTGATTCCCAACATTTTTTTTTGTGCAGACCACTTGAAAATTGCTGAGGGTATTGATGGCCCATTGAATGATTATTTTTTTGCCTGTTATAACGACGGTAATGTGCTGTGCTAGATGCTGTATGATTTTTAAATTGTATTTTTATTGCTTCTTCTATTGTATTATGTGGTATTACTTTATTACAATACACTAAAATACAATATAAGAAATTAAAGAAGCAATAAAAATGCATCTAAATTCAGTATTATTATTTAATACCAACACACGGACCACCTAAACAAAGTTTGTAGATCGATGGTGGTCCATGGACCAGTCTCAGAACTCATGTACAGTGGTACCTCGGGTTAAGTACTTAATTCATTCCGGAGGTCCGTTCTTAACCTGAAACTGTTCTTAACCTGAAGCACCACTTTAGCTAATGGGCCCTACTGCTGCCGCCGCACCACCGGAGCACGATTTCTGTTCTCATCCTGAAGCAAAGTTCTTAACCCGAGGTACTATTTCTGGGTTAGCGGAGTCTGTAACCTGAAGCGTATGTAACCCGAGGTACCACTGTATTAGACAGCAGAATACTGTTTGTGTTGTGTCACATTAGCCGTCAGGACATATACATAAATATACCCCTCCCAACATAGGCCAAACTGATGCAATGCTAAATGTGTAATTAGAAATCATTTTAGGTTTCCAAATTTATATATATATTTTTTTAAAAAAAGATGCACAAGGGTTGATTTACCACTGGGATTGCAGCACACGAGAAATGGAGATCTTGATTAAAATAGCACGCACACAACACACACCTAAGGCACAGCTGCTAGCCTTAGAAAAAAGGTCTCATTGATGCCAAAGGCAGCTTTCACCCTAAAGCAGGCTTCCTCAAACTCGGCCCTCCAGATGCTTTTGGCCTACTACTCCCATGATCCCTACCTAGCAGGACCAGTGGTCCGGGATGATGGGAGTTGTAGTCTCAAAACATCTGGAGGGCTGAGTTTGAGGATGCCTGCCCTAAAGCTATTTTCATAGCTGAGGAAAGAGAGGTGAAACCTATCCTTCACTATACTGCAATCCTGATGGAAATCACTCCCCTACATGCCCATTTTATATATATTTAAAACATGACACGAGTTCTAATGATGCACTTAATGCTGCATCTAGCTTTGCCCACAGCTTTTCTGTAAATAATTGTTCCTTAAAATTCAGCTGCTTTAAACATAAAACAAACTGTGAATGAAAAACAATGAAAGGGGAAAAAAACCACTTTCTAAGTTATTTGCTCCCAATTCACTAAGGGGGTGGCCAATGCATGGAATTGAGAGTGCAGAACCAAAGGAAGTGCATGGAGGTAGAACTGATACTGAAAACTGGGTCAGGGGCAGGATTTTACAGACCCTGAGTACTAATTACATGGTTGGCAAAGTGGACATTAATTTGTTTGAGAATAGGGGCTGATTCCAATGTTGTTTGTCCTCAACTGGTGTTGCCCAAGTTCACAGTTGTTAAGTTCCAAAATACTGTAAATGGATATTTTTCAATATGCCTTTTTGCACTAAAGTAGGCAAAGTACTCCTAAATTAATGGTCTGGTCTTCCATTTCTATATTCCAAACCTGTGGCAGGGGGCATAATTATGCATCCTTCTTATTTACTTTTAATATATAGGAATTTAGATCTTGGTTACAATATTGTAGCAACAGCTCACACTGTCAAAATCATACCTAATCACACCCATTCCACAGTGTTTTTGTTTTGGAGGTGAATGAATGTACAATCCAATTGCTGTGAATGCTATATTGTTAGAAACAGTAAATTATTTGTACGGGTATTTATTCGAATATAAGACTCTGCTAACTAAAAAAAAAATCTAAGCGGTGTATATAATGCAATAAAATAATCATCAATAGATAAAAGTAGCAGCATTTAAAAATGAGTAATACACAATGATATTATATGCCCAGATAGGCTTGCTGGAAGTTTTAGCAGACATTTAAAACAGTATAATGAAGATGTCTGCCAAATCAGAGTTGGAAGGGACTACAAGGATCATCTATTCCACCCCCTGTAATGCAGGAATCTTTTGCCCAACATGGGGTTTTAACCCCCACAGTTCAGCTCATTTTTCTGAGAATGAGGGCTGTAACGTTTGCTTACAGGTTCTAAAATGCCAACAGAAATCAAACTTCTAACAATACTTTTCAACTACTACTTTTTCTAATACCTATAACCATTTTATATGCAGTTTTGCACAAATCGCTATTAAATACCGGCAGAAAAATGCCGGCACTTTACACTGTTGTATTTCAGTGGCAATCTCCGTGAACTATTTTGTAAGAAATAAAATACTTTGCTATTTAATTTGCACGTGTTTTTTTATTATTGTAAGTTGGTAATACTTAAAAGCAACAACTCTTTGAAAAATCATTAGAAATGTAATTTATTTTCATAAAAAATTCGATATGCCTGCTCTATCAATACCGTTTAGCAGTTTTCATTAAAAGCAACTTACAGCGCAACCAACAATCAGAATCAACTTGCCTTGTCCTCTATTGCATGTGGCCACCCTAAACTGCTGCCCAATCACTGCAAGCGACAAAGGGGTGCCGGGGCTCCCCGCTTGTCTCCTACGTGCAACGTCCGCTTTTGCCCCTCTAGAGCCCAGCGTCGAAAGCAACCCGGAAGTCCGGTGCGCGGAAGTAGGAGCAAGCCCTGTCTCTTTAGAAATCCCTGCGCGGAAGTCCCTCCCCAGCGCGCCTGCGCAGTGCTAGCGCGCGGAGTCAACTGCGCAAGCGCAGAACTGTGAGCCGTCGGTCCCTTCCAGTCGCGGGAGTTTTAACGCTCCGCACGAAGCGCGGGGCCTCATGGCGGAAGAGCTACGACGCGCCGGAGGCCACCAGCTGGGGCTGTGCTTGCTTTGCGGTTTACCTGCCGCGGGCAAAACGACGGCGGCGCAGGCCCTGAGCCGGGTCCTGAGGGAGCGCAAAGGGTGGCGCTGCGTCCCCCTCGCTTACGACGACCTCATCCCTCCGGAAGCGTTCGACCAATCAAAGGAGAGCTCGGGACAGCGCGAGCAGCAGCCGTTGGTCAGTAGCTTCCTCCCCCTGCTCCTTATTGGCCAGTGTGGTCTTGCGATTCTCATTGGCCTGGGAAAGGTATTCGCCTGCCCCCGGGATCTTTCAGTGGTAGCACAGCAGCTCCAGGTGGGCAGCAGGATGCGCCCCAGCTTTATTTTCCTACCGCTGTCATTGCCAAGGATCCTTTTCCTTCTGACGCCTCGCAGCTGATTCTAGCTAGGAGATCTGGTGCTTTAGGGTCAGCTGCGGGGTAGGCGCTCACCAAGTTTGCTAAAATAGTAAAAAAAATCTGGATATTGAGGGAGCCTATTGGCTTGTCCTTTATTAAAGTAATCTGCTGTAGCATGGCAGCGATAAATGACCAAAGTTATCATTCTTCTAAATCGGCTGTGATTCGCTCCAGCTGCCGGCAGGTTTTGCTTATTTCAAATTGCATCAAGAAAAGTGAACTCGATTTTAAAGCATCTATATATATATTAGTAACATGGAATTAAGCAAGACTAGCCTGCATATTTTTAAAAAGCATCTTGTTTCCTGTTATTTTCTGCTGAAAGTTTCTTTTCTGAATCTTATTGTTTTGCTCTTTTGATTCTCACATACGGACTGATAAACCAGCATAGTGTTATGTCTTGTTTTACAGTATTGCAATATGTTAGTTGCTGGTTCAGGGCCCTTTGGGCTGAAAGGCAACATATAAATAAACTGGTGGTGGTGGTATTTTGCAAAGCAGTCAGTTCAGTCTGGGCATTTGTTGATAACACAAGCTGTTTAGAAGATGTGAAATTACTTAATATTCATTTGCAGAAACAACCAAGAGTTTTTTATTACCTCAAAGACAAATTCATTGCAAAATAAGCCCTTCTTGAACATTCCTGTGGCTTCAGTGAAGTCCATGAAATTTACACTGCAATAGCACTGCAATCCTAACTCTTCTTACCTTGGGGAATTCAGTAGGACTTCCTTATGAGTAGGCATGGTTAGGGTTGTGCTATAAATCTGTTGGGCCTTTAAGGCACCAAAAGAAAAAGAAAGATAAAAGGCTAAATTATCTTCTGTGATTGAATAAGTGTACTACTCAATCTGTTGTTGATTTGTGGTAGTATATAAAAACTTAATAGTGTGTAATTATTACTATTTCATTTTCACATGGTTACCCTGCTGGAGTTATTACTAACATGCATTGTAGAGGGGTTAGCATGTTTGTTGCAAGAGAAACAATAGTTTTGTGGTAGTTACACTAATAGTTGGGGAAGACTGGTAGCAGCATATTTTATTAAACTGGGATTTTGCAGCACAATGCCTGTAAGGAGGGAAGAGTTTTGGTTAAAATGGCATGGGTGGGCCATGCAGAGAATTATAGGCATGATTGATGCTAAGAAAGAATAGCAAATCATCTAAAATATCAAGAGGACAAATGCTGTCCATTTAACACTGCAGCCAATAGCAAAACCTTCGTTGCTGTTAATGGTTCCAGTTTTTATCCAATATCTTGCACTCTCACCATGAATAATTGTCTTTTTACTTTATAGATGTCACACTGGAGATTGTACCGTCATGAATTATTGCTGTATCTTGAACATTTCCTTCAGAATTTTATTAAAGGATGCCATTATTCTCCTCCTCCAAACAGAACTGAAACAACATGGAAAAGGTTTGCCTGCTATCTGAAAGAACAAGAATTAATATATCCAAGAACAGGAACTGAAGACTCTGCATCTTGTCAATATTTAATAGATTTTATCCCTCTCAGACCAATATATTTTATTTTAGATGACAACTTTTATTATCGGAGTATGAGATATGAAGTGTACCAGTTAGCTCGCCAGTGTAAGTTTGATATTATATTTTAAGGTAGCGGCTCAGCCTTATGACTCAGCAGTGCAAACCATGATTTGGGATGTTATGGCTAAAAGGGATTCCTATCCTTGTTGTGCAGAGAGCAAAGCTCTCTTGTTGTTTCTTAGGGATTCCTATCTGTCCCAAAGATTAATAATTTGCTACATAGAACACCTAAACTTTGATAGCATTCCGGGCAGCAACTTGTGATACAGAACTGGCCATTTCTGCATTGGTAGTGAAGCTGGGATTGTACTCCTTGCAGATGTCGGTTTCCTTCCACTTGACATCCTACACATTTTGTGGTTCAGACGGATAAACTGCTTTGGCTGCCATGACCAATGCCAGGAACGAGACATGGAGAATAGAACCAAGCCAATTTGTCTGGAACTTTCAGTTGTTGTCTGGACTATTGCCTCCTGAACAGTGTAGCTGGTTTAGAAACTGGAGGCCCTGAATAGCAATGGCTTAGTTCCTAACTGAGTAGCTAAGTTCAGAAAGTGGTCCTGGATAATGACAGCTTGGGTTCTTGGTACATTTATTTTATATCATTCCATAGCCCCTTTTAATATTTAGATCAATCACTGCAAGGGCATCCAATGTTTTGGAGTTGGGAATTCATATGCACCATCTTTCTTTTACATCTGATTCTGATGAGCGTTGAACTGGTGTCTGGGCTCAGTAACGGACTGGATTGCTGAGGTACAGTTGGTGGGTATTTTGTGTGGGAAGGTGGTGCTCAATAGTTATAGATATAGCTGCCCTCTCCTTGAAGGATTGAGTTTGCATCTTGAGGTACTCGTTGTCCCCAGCTTTGTCACCGGAAGAACAAGAGTTTGTCTGTGTGGCACAGAGTGCTTTCCACAAGCTGAGGCTGGTACACCTGCTTCTGGACATGTACAGCAGTCCAAGTTCTGTTAACTTCTGGAATAGATTACTGCAACGTGTTACGGAAGGCAGTTTGGAAATTGCAAGTTAGTTCAAAACATAGCTGCCAGGCTGCTAACTCGTACCAGAAGTTGGGATCACATTTCAAAAGTGTTTGAATAACTTCACTGGCTTCTGGTCTGTTTCCAGAGTGATAATTTTTACCTAGAAAGCCCTAATGGCTTGGGGCTAGGATACCTGTAGGATTACCTGTCACCATAGCAGCCACCTGGACAATAACATCTTGCTGCTGCTGCCGCCTTTTCAGTTGCAGTGCCCTCTTGTGGAAAACTCTCATCGGGCAGCTTTGCCTGCTGCCTATGTCATTATTTTTTCAGGGAATCCCATTTTAATTTAATTTATTTAGCAGTTTTGTTCCCTCTGGTGTTATTTTTATGCTACTTGTGTTATGCTTTTTAGTGTTGTTCTTCATTTTTATATATTATGGCATTTCTGTCCCACCTACGCATCCTAAGTGATCTTGGATCAGACACAATAACCAGTGAAAACCAAAAGTAAAATAACATTACAAATAATTATTACCATTCCATCTGCTTAATACAACCAGGTTCCCACATGTACATGTACTTCAGAAGGCCTGGCAGAAAAGGAAATTCAGCTGGTTCTAAAATAAAGATAAAGTGGGTGCCAGTCAAAGCTCTGAAAGGAAATTCTTAGTCATTGATATACCAGGCCTCCCCAAACAATTACTGGGTCTGGGCAGGACTATATGAGGAGAGGTGTTCCTTCAGATACCTAGCTCCTAAACCATTTCAGAGCTTTATATACTAGAACCAAAACCTTGAACAATTGGCCTTGATGGCAAATAGGCAACCAAAACAAGTCTTTGAGAATCTGTGTTACATAGTCTTGTGCAAGCTCTATTTATAATGAATACTAAACTCTGAAATACTTAGGATCCCACATCCTTACTTCAGGGTGATACAGAAGACCACCTTATTTTGTGCAAAATTCCTGTGTTTGTGTTATTCCTACACTTTTCAGAAACCATGGTGAGATTAAAATGACCCTCTTATCATCCAAGAATATTTTTATATTTGTCTAGATACACTGGGCTTCTGTCAGTTGTTCCTAGATTGCCAGGCTGATGTTTGTTTAGAGAGAAACAGTCGGAGAAAACAACCATTACCTGAAGAAACCATCCATGCAATGGTGCAGAAAATGGAAGTTCCAAATCCAGAGAAATACGCCTGGGAGCAGAACAGCTTCATTCTGAAGACTACAGAATGTTCAGTAGAAGATAAGTATGTAGTCACATGAAAATAGTTATTTACATTGAATTAAATGGAGGCTTCACAGACATCTGTGGGCCTAGCAGAGTGTAGAACTCTGGAGTTGTGCAGCGCTTCTCTATTCATTGATATTTGCCTTGGAATAGCTTTGTTGCAGGGCACCTAGCTGCGGAAAGGGACATAGCTCAGTGATAGTACACGTGCTGAGCATGTAGAAGGTCCCTAGTTAAATCCCCAGCATCTCCAGGCAGGGCTGTCTGAAACTCTGGAGAACTGCTGCCTGTCAGTGTAGACAAAAGCTGAACTAGAACAGCCAATGGTCTGACTCAATGCAAGGCAACATCCTGTGTGACGAATGGATGTTGTTAATGTTACAGTTGTATAAGGGATTGTTATTTTGACTGGATTGCAATTGAGATGAATAAAATTTTGGAACACAGAACTATGAAGTAAATCACCAAACCATCAATTCTAGCAAGTGGGAGGCCACCTAAATCACCGTATTTTTTGCTCTATAAGACTTACTTTTTCCCTCCCAAAAAGTAAGGGGAAATGTGTGTGTGTCTTACGGAGCGAATGCAGGCTGCACAGCTGTCCCAGAAGCCAGAACAGCAAGGGGGATTGCTGCTTTCACTGCACAGCGATCCCTCTTGCTGTTCTGGCTTCTGAGATTCAGAATATTTTTTTTCTTGTTTTCCTCCTCCAAAAATTAGGTGCATCTTGTGGTTTGGTGCGTCTTATAGAGCAAAAAATACGGTATATAATTTGGCATCTGAATGGTTGGGATTAGTAATTGTATTATAATTTGGCAATGTTATAATGAGGCTACCATTGGATTATTCTAACTGAAAACTAATAAAAATTATTGTATATATAAAAAAAGAGAATCAGAAAACAAAAGAAACCCTTGCCAATCTACTGCGGCTCACCCTGAGATCCAAGATTAGATCCCAATTTATGCTTTGCTCACTCTTTTCTCTGCTGTCCAACCTCATTGATCTCAGCAAAATTCTTGCCTTGGACACTTCTGTGATGCCAGTGTGCCATCCTTAGGCGAGTGCTTACATTGCATGTGCATAGTTAATCTTTCTTTAACATGTTTGTTTTCTTGACTTTTTCAGTCTTCAAGTGCTTGATTTGCTATCTACTGCTCTGGAAAATCCAGTGAAACCCCTGGAAGAGAATACAGAAGTAAAGGTAATATGGAACTATTACATAGCTAATAAAATAGACATTTGATGCCTGGCACTTCTGCTGAAAATAATCCACCAGTGGAGAATTGTCCACTTTGGAGGAGAACGTTTCCTACACAGGAAATCTAAGACTCACTTTCTGCTCATAAAGGAGGAGTTTGTGCTGTAAAGACAATTGGTGAAATTCAGTGTCGTGCCATTGCCATTAGAAACACTCCATCTGCACAAGCATATCAGCTTTCCAGATGGAATAATTCCTCCTGTCATACACAGTTCTAGGGGTTCTCCTGACACCCCCCCCCCAGTCAATGGGGTATAGGGGAAGGCTCACAGCACAAGTGGAAGTCATTATGCAGGGCTTCCTCTAGTGGGGTTCATTAGATGAATCCCACCCAATGGTAGTCCTAACTCAGAGCAAACCCACTGAAGTTCATAATCATGTCTAACTTAAATTTATTCATTTCAATTGGTCTCCTCTGAATGGGACAACTCGGTGGCTGTAACTGAGAGAAGTACCAGAACCATCAGGTCCCATTGTCAACAATGGATGGCAAAGGAAATGAGTGCTAGCCTTCTGTAGCAGACAAGAGGAAAGTCTGCCTTTTTTCACCTCATTTCACTGAATCAAAGTGCCTTCACATGTCTTACGGTTGTAAGCTTTCTTGTGTCACAGCATTTCTGAAAAGTGGAGAATGTTCAGTAGAGATTCTTGTGGCAAACTTCAAGAGTGCTCTGTACCAAAATTCCCTCTGTGTAGTTTCACACTTGTCTGAAAGTGCAAATTTTTTGGGAAGCTTCAACTCTCCTCCCTTTATGCAAGGAGGAAGGTGCACAAAGCTCACCCCAGTTAGTGCATGTGCTCATAACGGCCAGATTTATCCTTTGAAGATATATATATACATATATATATGAGCCCAGTTCTAAAAACATTTTTGCTTGTTGATTGCGGCTAGGAAAGGGATCGAGCTATTTGTGCAGCCAGTGTTCTTCATCAAGCAGACCAGGCTGTCAGGCGAGCTGTCTCTCAGACCATGAAGACTGCTAAAGGTATGCTTATTTGCAAGAGGTTGCTTAACTTGCTTTACATGCACTTAAATTAGAAAGGCACAGTGCAACAAAACCATACATGTGCAGCGGATTATGACTACTATTTAAAGACACTGTTTATGCACAAAGGCCCTATACATGCCCGTTGTCCTCTATCTCTGAAGATTCCTCTTTTGGAGATCCCACTTCTGAGGAGGTAAGCCTCTATTCATTTTCAAAAAAATAGTGGCTTTTCTTAAACCAAACTTTTGATCTTCCTTCCCCTTTAAAATAATAATAATTTTATTATTTATATCCCACCCATGTGGCTGAGTCTCCTCAGCCACTCTGGGCAGCTCCCAACAGAATACTAAAAACACGATAAAGCATCAAACATTAAAAACTTCCCTAAACAGGGCTGCCTTCAGTTGTCTTCTAAAAGTCAGATACAGTGGTACCTCGGGTTACATACGCTTCAGGTTACATACGCTTCAGGTTACAGACTCCGCTAACCCAGAAATAGTGCTTCAGGTTAAGAACTTTGCTTCAGGATAAGAACAGAAATCGGGCTCCGGCGGCGCGGCAGCAGCAGGAGGCCCCATTAGCTAAAGTGGTGCTTCAGGTTAAGAACAGTTTCAGGTTAAGTACGGACCTCCAGAACGAATTAAGTACTTAACCCGAGGTACCACTGTAGTTGTTTATTTAATTGACATCTAATGGGAGGGTGTTCCACAGGGTGGGCACTGCTACCGAGAAGGCCCTCTGCCTGGTTTAAGATAAATTTAATATAACAGTAGGTAAATCACCATGTGCTGTATATTTTGTTTCCCTAGATAATAACCTTACCCCAAAGGAGATGAAGAGCTTGGCAGATGAACTAAATATGCTGAAAGTGGAATTTTTGGAAGATTTGAGGCACAGAGAAAATGAGAAAAATAATCAATTGAATATAAGTGTAACCTCTTTATTCAGCCAACAGGCAGATGGCATTGTTAAGAAATATTTAAGTGAGAAGTAGTAGCATTTTTATATATTCATTGAAAGGGAATATAACGCTGTGGCATGTGGGTTTGGCAAGAATACTAGATATTGCTAAGATTTGGCATCTGATGTCTCATTGGAAAAAACTGGGCCAATTCCCTCACTCTCTCTGTTCGGACTGACTGCCAAAAATACCAGTTGCACCAAGAAGCTTCAGGATCCATAGGGAGAAGAAAGATAGTGAGATTTACCCTCTGAAATATTTTACTGTTTGATATAATTTGAAATATGTCTGCAGCCAGGATCATTGACTCATACATATGACCCAGATGTTGTTAAATTTCAAACTCCCACCAGGGCCCCTACTAGCATGGCTGAAGGTCTAATGGACGATGGTTGTAGTCCAATAACTGGAGGGCAAGGGGCATAGTGGGCAAACAATGGCTGGATCTAGACACATTAAAGCAGCATTCCAGTTAAAAGCGTTGTAAATTTAAATAGGGAAGACAGGTACTGTAGAGAAAAACGGGACTCCACAGCGCAATCTGGTGGCACACTGTTATATCGCATATGCAACGCATATAAATCACTTTTTCTTTACCAATTTGGCTGAGTTCTGTGTGTAGCTTTAGCACTGTTATAAAATACTGTACATTAAGGACCATCAGAATCAAAAGGATTGTGCCTTTCCATATTTGTTCCATCTAGTGCTTCTCAGACTGCTGTTTCATTTTTATTTATAAAGGGTATGCATATAGTACTTCCGGCTATATATTCCACATTTTGTGAATTGTTTCCATCAAAGGTGCAGTGGTACCTCGGAAGTCGAATGTAATCCGTTCCAGAAGTCTGTTTGACTTCCAAAACGTTCGGAAATGAAGGCGCAACTTCCAATTGGCTGTAGGAAGCTGCTGTAGCCAATTGGAAACCGCATCAGAGGTCTGGGTTCCAAAGAACGTTTGGAACACTCACTCCCAGGTTTGCGGTGTTCGGATGCCAAAACGTTCAACTCGCAAGGTGTTTGTGAACCAAGGTATGACTGTATATCACTTTTTGTTTTCAGTACTGTGAGTAACAAAGGGTTTAAAAATAGCAAGTTAACAGTAGTAACAGAGCAACCTAGTAAGGCAGCGATCTACAATCCACAGAGGCACTGAAGCCATGTTGACAATTCCAAAATAAGTGGGTTATGGGCTGCGGTTTCAACCACCATCTCTCACACAATGTCGTTTATCTGAATGCAGAAGCTGAAATTCATCTGGAGAAAATATTAAAACAACATAATGCAAGCTCCTTATAACATTAAGGCTTTGTTTTGCTTTAATTAATAGAGTTCTTATTGAAATTTTTCTTATTTGGGGCCTGAATATGGGGAAAGAGACAGTGGAAAATGTTGTTTAGAAATTAATTTTGATGCTGTTGCATAGAATGAGGCTAATACGCTTTTTCAAAACACCAATCCTGCATGTTTTGTTACTGAAACGAGCTGCTCTGTATCAGTGGTAAAGCCAGAGTCTGCAACATCCCATCCTTATGCCTTACTTAGTGGAAGCAGTAAAGGCTCTATTGTACTTAGTATACCTTGTACTAACATTCTTGAGCTTTTTGGCATTGTAGATCCCAATGGTAAGTGACATCATCTGTGAGCCTTCATCTGCTTTTAGTCCCAGCTCATTTCTTGTTGGTTTAAGTCTAAGTGTCTGCTGCAGCTCAGGTGTCGCTACCAGCTCTTTGGCTGAAAGGTCTCTAAAAAACAGTAGTGCAAGGGTTTCCATTTCCACTGCCCACCGCAACAGTGGCCTCGTGTTTTCAAAAGCTGCCATGACCTGTAGCAATTGCTCAGGTTATCTACATGTTTCCAAACCTCACCTCTTGACTATCTGCTTGACTTTAAGGGTACAGGAACTCTACAAAAATAGAAGCCATGACCCTGACCATAGCCTTTTATGGCTCAATTCTATTTTGTATTTCTAGTACACAGTAATACTCAGTTTGCCAACACACTGTACTGGAAAAAGTAGAGATGTCCCCAATAAAGCTTCTCCTTCCCTCACTTAATTCAACATGACCTTATTTGATGGCCACTTCTTGCCCTATCTTTTCCCCATACCTATGCTGTCAATCGGCTTCTTTGTTTTCCTTCTCAGCACGGCTGCCCTTTCATGGTCAGCTAAGACCAGCTGGTCTGGTTTTGGCCAGGGAAGACATGAACAGGCTGGGAGTGGAGTTGCCACCAGCTGTTGTCCATTGCTCTACAACTGCTCATTCAATCAGATCATTTATAGACATTTCATAAAGATGACCCAGCTAGGATATACGTGAGGATTTTTACAAGCAGCCTTTATTTAGCTGTGTTAGTCCATTCAACATACCCAGCACTGTAATTAAAACATACATAGTATATTTTAGGTTCTCTGCTGTCATAGCATGCAATCCCAATCAAACAAGACTAATGATAAGTTTGTCACTGACTTCCTGAGTGCAACATATATGGCACTAGAGTTGCAAGACTAATTTGGTGCTATGCCATTTTAGAGAGGCAGAAGGCAATTCCAAGAATATTCTGGCGAAATACTTCTAAACGTCGGAATGCAAACATTGAGTACGGTTACACAAATGTATTAAGACACTGAACATTAACTTTGAGAAAGATACCTAAGAGAATGTCAGGAACTGAAATTAAGGTCTTAATATAGCTGCTTGAGAGGGCTTTTCCTCTGAAAAATGATTCTAAACTTAAAGAGACAAAAAATTCCAGCCATGGAAGGTAAGTTTTTTAGTCTGCTTTAAGTACAGTGCCAGCAGCCTATTCTGCTCAAACTATGTGCTGTTTACCTCAGTAAATACTGTGCATCCTCCATGTTATTATAGTTTAGGACCTTTGTGGTGCCATGTGGCTACAGGGGTGGGGTGGGGGGACGGGACCCAATTGCTCAAGTAGACTTTGGCGTAAGATTTCTTACATCTTACAAGATAGGATCCTACTGATAAGGTTTTTCTTTTGCACTGACCAGTGATGACTTAACTGACTCAAGAGGACTTTTCTAATCTGTGCTGCTATTTTGGCTCTCAGAAGAATGCTCCTCTACCAAAAGAGCTGAAGATGGAGAGGGGTATACTTGACCATTATTCACACAAAGGCACGTACTTTGGGATGCGAAACCAATAAAAGCACACTGTCGTAAGTTTGTATGTGCATGTGCATATTTACTTGTTATGCAAGTGACAGCAGTATAAAGTCCTCTCTTTCCCTTAAAATAAAATAATGAAGATATACAATAAAAGTGCATGTCAAAGTGTTTTCCCCTGTATATTAAGGATTCATGTGCTGTAAGCTAGCACCATAGTTTTTGCTAGCATAGTTTGTTTAAAGTGCCTATTCACTTATCTAGATCAAGGCAGAAACAGTTGGCTGCTATGTCTTAGAGTTTTTATCCACTGTAATTAGTCAGTGATTCCTCATATAAACTTTTTGCTTTGTCAAGTCCAGAACTATAACAAAAAACCTAGTATGGAATGTTTTCTTTCGACTGCTGTTTACCTGGACTAGGATGCTCTTTTCAAGAAGTACATTCATCATTCACAGATAAAATGACCCATGTGAAATCTGAATGGATTATCATAATCTCATAACCTCCTTGCCACTTCATTTTCAGGTAAAAACATTACTACCAGAAGGTAAAGACAAAACAACTTTCACATAAACATTTAAATGGTAATGAAGTTCTTTGCAATGCAATGCAATGCAAGCTAGGTATGAAAATTATGGTAGAGTTTTTTAACACATTACCCATTTTCTTCCAATGTTTTCTTTCTGCACACAGTTTTAAAAATTACAGACATTTAATACTAGGCACAGGTTCCTTGTATTCCTTTAAAAGGGGGTCAGCAGTAATTGAAAGTGGATGTCTTTGTTCCCTATTTCACATTTTTACTCTTCTAGTTTTCCACATCATGACTCACTATTACCACAGGAGCTTTATTAAAGGCCTCACAGCAATTAAACTTTTCCTAGATTTAAGTTTTGTTGCAGACATCAACTTTATCTTTGTTTACTCTTTACACAATATTTTATAGCAGTTTACGGGATAGTCAGTTTATACACAGTTGCATATAGCTTCTACACTGAAAATATCTGAGTACATTATGTATGACGGAATTAAACTAAAGGCTACTCCAGTAGCTCAGCTTAATGTTAAGTATTGGTTAAGTACTTGGACACAAGTGTTGATCGACAAGATCCACATTATGTTAGGTCAGTATATATTGTGTTGCACTGATTATCCATTAATAGTAATAATAATAATTGCACTACAAACCTCATTCTTATTTTAGGATTTTAAAGAATTTTAAAGAATGCCGCCATGGTAAACAAGCACGTCCCTAGCAAATCATGAAAGCGTGTAAAGGTAATTGCCTTTGATGTTAAATCTGCTTAACTGGATTCCTCCAAAAGGGCACGCAACCTCTCCAGTAGCAACAAAGAGACAGACAGCAATGTGTTTAAACAAACACAGATAAATGAATGCATGGTATAACTTATATTCAATCAATGTTGGTTATGTTGGCCTCTGGCAAAATGGCAAGCAAAGTCATACTTGTTTTTACATTTGCAACCACATATGTTGCACTGGAAAGGGTTCTCAAAGCCATGACATCCCATGTGGATCGTATAAAGAATATTGTCAGCAAAATACATATCACAGTGCTGGCAGTGATGCAGAAGCTGAGGATCCTGAACTGGAAGAGTTGGTGCTGGAGTACTTGGCTGGCTATTACTTATGCTCGGGGTGCTGGCATGAGCACTGTGGTCGCTGCTGGGACCTGCGACTGGACTGTAGTTTCTTTGAGAATGTGCAGGGCGAGGATCAGGACTTGTAGGGGATGAACTCTGAGGAATACTGGTCGACACCGCTGGAACGGCTGCTGGCGCGGCAGGCTGCTGCATCATAAAAGGCTTTTCATCTTGACACGGTACAACATCAGGAGAGGGTGGGTTTTGGTTTTCAGGGGGCAGGCTAGACAACTGTCCTGCTAAAGTAGATAGCTGGTTTAAAGGGTTATCTACCATAAGGTCTTGTGGATCTCTTGGTAACCCACCAGTCTCTGTTGGCTTTGTCATACTTTCATATGCTTCAGTCTGAATGTTTGGGATTTCATGAGTGAAGTCGTTAAGGTAGTCCGGCTTCTGAACCACCATGGAAGGTGGACTTAAGTTTATTAGCGCCCTTCGACCATACCCCAAGTTACTGGTCTTCTTCTGCAAGACACCCCACATCTTCTTGCTACTAAGGGAAGGCCTTGTACCTTTTATAGGCACCATTTTATGTTTGCGCCTGCGGTGGTGAGACAGGTTGCTTCTGTCACTACAGCGGAATGAACACAATTCACATTTGTAAGGTTTTTCACCTGTATGCGATCGCATATGAGCTTCCAAGTGACGTTCATATGCTGATGCAAAGGGGCATAAGTGGCATCTGTGTGGTTTCTCACCTGAAAGAATACAAGATTTTATTGTATTGATACCATGTGTTTTGCAAGAAACAAATGGAAGAAGAGTGACTAGAGTTGAGTCACAGAGCACTACAATATCTAAAGCTACCATTTAAAATCCTTAATACAGTGGTGCCTCGCAAGACGAAATTAATCCGTTCCGCGAGTGTCTTTGTCTAGCGGTTTTTTCGTCTTGCGAAGCAACCCTATTAGCGGATTAGCGCTATTAGCGGTTTAGCGGCTATTAAAGGCTTAGCGGCTTAGCTGCTAAAAGGCTATTAGCGGCTTAGCGGCTTAGAAAAAGGGGGGGAGCGGAAAAAAAATCTCAAGACTCGCAAGACATTTTCGTCTTGCGAAGCAAGCCCATAGGGAAATTCGTCCTGCGAAGCAACTAAAAAACAGAAAACCCTTTCGTCTAGCGGGTTTTCCGCCTTGCGAGGCATTCGTCTTGCGGGGCACCACTGTAATAATTTTAAAAAATAAATGTTTATTTATACCCCGCCCTTCCCACCAGTTCAGAAAACCGGGCTCAGAGCGGCTAACAACAAATTTAAAACACTTAATTGATGCAACAAAAAACAGCATAAAGCAGTATAAAATGTGAATAACAATAAAGTCAGAATTCAAAAATCAATTTAGGGGGGAAATCCATCCAATAAACATTAGATGATCACCAGGGCTAGCTGGCTAAATTAGTCCTATTTGGGCCAGCGAGGAAACCAGGGCAGAATTAGCTGTGACAAACAACAGTCAAATGAAAGAGATTAGTTTTATGGTTCATGTCTTAGGACCAGTAAATGCTGGAAGATACATAGGGTAAGTTGAACAAGTAAAAGAATCAGCAACATTGCAAGTGTAAGCAGTATCTAGAGCTGGCAAAACCATTTCCCTAGACAGTCACACAGGTTATTTCATATAGTCTGGTTTTCCTACATTTAGCTGAAAACTGAATTTTAAGAATCAAGTTTGCTTACTGGAGAAATAGAAGTGGAAAGATCATTAACAGATAGATACAAATCTCCTGACTGGAAAACACATGTTTAACACAGTAAGAAAGCTTGTGTAGGTATATATACCACCAGCAGAGAGATACAAAATCTGCAGACTCAGTCATACCTGTGTGAATTCTGATATGTTCTATGAGACGTGCTGTTCCTTTGCTGGCATAGTTACAATACCGACATTTCAATTTTCCATCAAAAGTTCTTTCAAACCCATCTACTAACACTCCAGAGTTTTCATCCAGTGAGACCTCGACCGAAGGATGATCTAGTCCATTTTGATCACCTTCTGTCCCTGCTGTAAAAAGAGAAGGGAAACACCAATAAGTTTCTTCCTTTATCTTGTACTTAGTTTGCATACTATAACAGGCTATTGGGAGACAGGTGGGAAGAAGCTCCCCTCTACAATAACCAGCCTTTCTTTTAAATAAAGTGAAAGCTGAATTGTACCATGGTGAACCTACCTCCCTGAAGAGTCTCTGCTTCTTTGTCCCCACTAACAGAGCCTGAAATCATGTTCACATGGTGAGTCTGCTGAGTCAGATATTCCTGAAAATCTTTTACAAAATCCAAAGGTTCTGGTTTCTTTTCACCCATATTCATATTACAACTTCACAATCCTGTGGGCCTAGAATAAAAAACCAACTTAAGATTCAAACAAAAACCACACAATATTGAAAATCATTACTGATATCTCACTTGAAGAGCAGCATATTAGCCTTGCAAGTGCCCCATGAGGTAGGCTAGGATGGTAGATGGTGACTTGAAAGAGCCAGCCATCAAAGCAGAACCAGGAAACAATTAGGGCTCCCCATATCAAGTTTCACTGTGTGAAGATGTCTAACATATAACAAAAGCCCAAGTCCTATACTGTTCATATCAACAAACCTCCTCATGCTACATCAAGGCCTTCAGAAAACAGAAAGTAGGTTTCCAGGAGGCAGTTATCCATTATCAAGAGTTTAAATTTTTGTGGTTCAAAAAGATACTAAGCTAAAAACAAAACACAGAACTCCTGCTTGCAGGCTTCCTACTGACATCTCGTTGGCCAACATAGGAGACAGGATATTGAACTAGATAGGCCCCTTGTCTCACCCAGCAAGGCTCATTTTATATTGTTAAGGAACCATCTTGGTAACTAGAATTTGGTGTTTTGCAACCCAAGGGCAAGGGAAAGAAGGTAGCCTGTGGAACTGTGAAATCTACAAATACTCAAAGAACTGATGATTGGAAACTTCAGTAAGACACCTCTCATTTCAAAGGTTCAAAATTTTTCTCTTGGTCTGCTGATGAAAATGCAGGTTCAGTTTTGACCCACTAGATTTTACTCTGTTTCCTTCCCCCCAAAGGAATGTTCAGAGAAGCTTATACGTAATATAAACTAAACATATATATCCAATACAACAAAATGACAAACACGTAACAGCAAGCGGGGGGTCACTACCCGTTCACCCACACTTGTGGAGGGGATTAGGGTTCTGCAGGGATGCCCACCTACTGCCACCAATTTCCCCCCCTCAACAAATAAGCATCAAAAGCTACCCTTCCCCTGCTACCCTGGTGGGCACGAGCAATAAAACATTGGATATAGCAGTGGCTGCACCATTCCCCAGATGGAATTTAGATCACTCTGCTCACTAGATTAATATTATAACCATATTTCTTTGATTTATATATGATAATCACAGTCTAGCAAATTCCTAGTTCCCACACCCAGTCTTTCATTTGGCTATATTTTTTTTAAGGAATAAAGTGAAATGACTATCAAATCCATTTGATATGTAATCTTATATGTACGTAATCTTATATGTAATCTTAACCAGACAATGATTTTGTGCAATTTGTGGTGTATTTTATCACTACACAAGATTTAATATTGTATTACTAAAAATTCATGTTAGACTTTCATTGGCCTCTACCAAATATCTCCGTAATTCCATTTTGCTGTGCTGTAAGAAAAGAGGTGCACACAACCTACTGCTGCAAAATGATTAGATGTGGATAAAAACTTTTAAAGGCAAGTTCTAAGAACTGCAGCCTTTCCCCAAAAAATCATTATAGACATGTCATACCTGAATTTTTTCCTTTATGTAGAAAACATTTTGAACTCTTCTTCAGGATATTAGATAAGTAATAAAGCACACATGTCCCACTTTCCCTATCATCAAAAAAGGGGGGAAACATTCAACCATTTATTAACTAATTTAAGAAAGCTTCGGGAATGGTAGATCAAAATCATATATAAAACTGACAGAAGCATTTCAGTTACTCATTTTACAGACTTTGTTTTGAAAACAACCTTTTCACCCCAATCTTAAATCCCTTTTACTGTGTCCTGTTAAGGCTTTACCAGTGGTATATATAATCACATTTGAAAATCATTTTTTCTCTGAAGGCTGACAGCATACAAAACATTTCTACACACACTGGTTCACATCACAGTAAGGCAGCTAGTCACCTGGAAGTCTTAAAAACTTAAAAGATATTTGAACAGGCATACTTGTTCAGTCTTGCCAGGAAAAATATATTTAGTTTGTAAAATTTTGCAGTAAACGCCAGGCAAGCAATGAAAATACACATATTACATTGCTGGATTAGATGAAAAGACATATCTATTCAAGTATTCTGTTTCAAATTATGGTCAAATTAATACACTGAAATTACTTGTGGGGAAGGGAGGGGAGGAATGACAAAGGTAGATTTTCAGACTCTTGAAGTGTGAGTCTTATTGACAGTTACCCAGGTTTAGCAACAGTATTTGTTTTCATTATTCCTCAAAAATATCCACAGTACACTGAAGCTTAATAAGAATGTAATTAGAACTAGTCGTCTTCTGAGCCTCCTTCTTCTCAGACAGCCTACTCTACCCCATCTTCTCTCAGTAATAATAATAATAATTTATTTGTACCCCTGCTTCCAACATATATAAAAACAAAATAAAACACTAAACATTAAAAAGCTTCCCTATACAGTGCTGCCCTCAGAAATAGTAATACTACCAGGATTCCCACTTGCACCCATAGCTCCCTTATTCCGACTTAGCTTCGCACTGCATATTCCAACAACCTCCTCGTTACTTCCCTCCAGACAAAAAACCGAAGCATAGCTCATTACAGTTTACTGACACATGAAGATACATAACTTTTAAGAGATCATTAAAATGCGTGTGCAGCAGTTTTACCTTAATCCTCCAAATCAACTTCAAATCAGTGAAACAGACATAAAAAATCCACTCTTGAAATATATGTTCCATCATATATGAAATACACTTCTCTGATTAATGCCTTTCTAGTCTACAAGAAAATGAGATTAGGGTACGCATTGGTTTTAAAAAGCATTTCCACCAGTTAAGTCTTCAAGGCTGCTTACAAACATTTCTGTTGCCAGTCTCCAGGGTGAGAGGGCTTGTTCATCTTCTATTCCAGACTTTCCCAAACTTGGGTCTCCAGTTGTTCTTAGACTACCACCATCATCCCTAGCTAGCAGGACCAGTGGTTAGGGATGATGGAAATTGTCCAAAAACAGCTGGAGACCCAAGTTTGGGAAACCCTGTTCTAGTCTACTACAGACTAGCTCACCCAATGCCCAATGCCCACAACAGGGAGCCAGATGGCATTGGCAATGTCTGCCTCAAAGTCTCAGGGGCGGCAGCAGAGCAGAGAACACACCAACCCCATAAACATCCATGTCCAAAGGCTACTAGGAGCAGAGCTCCTAGTAGAGATGTGATCATTTTCATGGTTTACAAGTTGTGTAGTGCTGCCATGGCCTTTTCTTGCTGTTTTTTAAGTGGGGAACAATATGGTTTAGCATATGACCAAGACAATAACCTTAATAGGCTTTATGCAGCCATATCTTTCTAGGACAGACTGATGTTGTGCTCATGATTGCTTGTGGTCTTCACATAGACACCTGTTGTGAGAGCAGAATGCTAGACTAGATAGGCCTTCAGTCTGATCCAGCAGTGCTGTTCTTGGGTTATTTATTTATTATTTATTTCCTAAAACTTATTCATGCTTTATCGGTTGAAAAACCATCAAAGCTGTTTACAAAAAAATAAAGCAATAAAAGTATCACTAGGTTAGTGCTGAGCAAGATCTAGTGTCATTCTCAGCGACAGTTGCTTCAAATTTTCCTTTATACAATAGTTTTGCCTACCTTCTTTCTGTAGTCATCAGCTTCATATAGACTTAAGTTAACTTGGGTTCCATTAGTTGAACACTGCAGAATAAAAAAAGACATAATTTTGCATACTCAATATTGTTTTTAAAGCAATCTCAAGGGAAATCAAAATGTGAAGTTCCGCATTTTCAAACTGAGTTAGTTAAATTAGATGTCATTGCCTTAAAATAACGAAGCCTGATAATGGTGTTGCTTTAGTGTTGAAAATACGCACAGAGTACATTATACCTAAGGAAAGCCATAAAACCTTAGTTTTATAACTCACATTTCATGCTTAAGTAATATAATTCCCATACCAAAATCCTTACCAAGTTAATGCTAAAAACTTTTCTGTAAAATACAGCATCTACATGAATAAACCTAGGCAATAGTTTTTCTATGTAAAAAGGATATGCTTTCTTTTCCTAGCTGACACTGCTGTACAAAGCCCTATTTAGGATATTCACAATGAATTATAGATGCAGGAAACAATCCAAATGCTGGATTGCCTGAATGCTAAAGTTTTTTATGCTGTTTTTACATATCTGAAACAGGTGGTTCAGCTGTTTATGTACATGCCACATTTGTCTGCTCTGTGCAGGACAGACATGTGACGCTCACATATAAGAAATCTAAGGAAGAAAGAAAAATTTGAGACTTTTCTCAAGTCTGCTCACATAACACCTTAACATTTTCACAGTTCCACATTGTCCAAAAGAGAGAGTGATTTTTGCCAAACATAAAAGTTAACATGACAAAACCTGTATGCAAAATCTATACATTAAAATGTGCAAGAGGCAGAACATGAGTGCTATAAGGAGAAAGATCAACATTTCAGCCACCAGAAAGCCTTGAATGACCATGCATTTGTTGTCTTATTCTCACTTGCCAACTTTCACCCCGAAGGCAACAGCAAAAATGGGCTGGCTACATACTCTACAGCAGACTTAGCCATATTATTCAGCTAAAATGTTTCACTGTACCTCTGCTCCCACTGGCACTGGAGAACATATTATATATAGCCAACGGTGACACAAACCATAGGAAGAACTTGAAAATGCAGGAAGTAACTTTACAGAGCTTGCTCTTTCACCAGCAGCAAAGCTATACTGTATTAACCACACTGCGGGAGCAATAATTTCCATCCAGTATATTGTCACTTTTGCCCTTTCTGGCAACACTTAACCCATCTCCCCATCCTTGCAGATCAGAGCAGCGAGGCTTGAAGGGATGCAGAGCTGAAGAACTCTCAGCAATTTTGTCCAATGCTGCAAATCAGCGGCCTAGAGTACTACGATACAAATACAGTATGATCCAATCTGGTTGGAAGATACCACTTCATCTTCTCATCTCTTAATACTTGCTCCCAATTACTTTGCCAATTTAATCCTCAACGTTATGGCTCATATAATTACTCTAAAGAATTAACCAAGGAGACGGTAAGAGGGAATTAATGTTTGGAAGGCAGTTGGAATAGAACTCAGATTTTTCATTCCACAGAACTCCATGCACACAGCCTATGGCACACCACCCTCCCAGCCCTCCATCTCTTCAATCCCATGCAAAGACCTCCCAACTTGCAGCTTTTCCCTTCCACTACCTACCCCTCTCATCTACAAGCAGTTCAAGTCAGACATTTCCCACTCCGTGTGGCTTATAGAGTGATCACAAAGCAAAACAGTGTCACTTCTAGACCCTGGGTGGCTCGGGTAGTGCTTAAAGAGCACCCAACAGTATCAGCTAGCATCCTTCGAGGATGTATGTTTCAGGAGCAAAAAGAGCTGTCGGCTCAGGAACAGTTCAGCGAGCCACTTTTTGCCTCTGGACACCCCCCCTTCCAAGTGTGCACTGTTTCTAGACGGCCGGCCGCCAGAGTGGTGAGATGCAACGCAGGAGAGGTGTGCCTCTCTTAACAGCTGTGTGGGGAAGAGGCAATTTCATCCTCCCTCGCTGGGCAAGGGCGGCCAGGAGGGGAAAGGCAGGACTGGGTGTTCCTGTTCCAGCCGCCCCTTAATAGTTGCGCAGAGATGGAGATATCCACAGAGGCAGCTTGTCATGCAAGCGGCACCTGCTGGAACAAACCCCCTCTTCTGCACAACTGTAGGATGCATGAGGAGCCCAGGCATCTTCTTCGTCTTGCATCTTCTTGCTTTCCTTAGGGCAGGATGAGCTGCCAGCGACTCCCGGGCAAAGCGCAGGCTCCCTGCGGCCACCTCTCCTCCCGCGACCCTGACAGAGAGCCAAACTCCAAGCCTCCCTCTGAGGGCTGCTGCTGGGGGGCAGCTTCCCACAGCCCACCGGACCCACCTCCTGGGCAGCGCGCAGCCTTTTCCCCGACCGCACCGGAGCGCCGCTCCCGACATGCTGCCTCCCCGACCGACCCTCGGCGAAGTGGGCTTCGCCGGCGCCACTCCTCCTGCGCTCACAACTTCGGCAGGCAGGCAGAGCGCGGCGCCAGCGGGGAAGGAGCACGACGAGGTCTCCTCCTGCTCCGCCCGGGCGGAGGGAGCCCCCCGGACGCCGCCTCACCTCCGCCGCACTTGCCAGCCGCAGGTGGACCCGACTCCCGCCGTCACCGCGGCCGCCGCCTCCATGTTTGTTGTGTCTCCCGGAGCCCAGGCGTAACCCGCGTCCTTCCCCCTTTCGAAATCCCGCGAGAGCTCCGCCAGCTCCGCCAACAGGCGCGGCCGGCGCGCGCCGTTCTCAAAGGGAGGCGTGGGAAGCAGCGCGCTCTCGCTCTCCAAAGCGGGTGGTTTGCTTGTTTTTATTTTCCTCTTGAGTTCTGTAGAACTTCCGGTATCCAGTCGCATACCGTCGGGCTCCCGCCTTTAATGTGCGGGGGCGAGAACGAAGGGGATGCGCAAACGCCTGTAAAAATCAAAGCGACGCTGCTCCTTATCGGGGGCGGGGAGTTGGGGAACGAGAGTCGTTGCGCTTCTAAACACTCCCGCCCCTCAGGAGGAAGAGGAGGAGGGTTCCATTGGGAACCAGAAGTGCATTGCGCGGCAGGCTTTCCGTAAAGGTGGGCAGAAGGTCCCTCTTTGGGTTCCTCCAGCAAGTTCGGTGTCCGCTCGGCCTTCGGGGGGAGAAGCTGCGGCGGCAGAAGGGATGGCGGCGGCAGGGGCTCTGTCTTCGCTCAGGCGCTGCGGGAAGGTAAATGTCGCCGTTGTTTTCCAGGGGCTCAACTCGGGGCGGCGGGGGGGCTGTTTTCAGATCCAGGACGCAGGTGGCAGGTGGAGGCTGCAGGTGGGCGGGTGGATCGGCTGCTTTGCAAGCAGATGGTCGCAGGTTAGAATCCGGGCATCTCGAGTCAAAAAGCGTCGGGAAGCCAGTGCGAGAAGAGGAACGTAGTCCAGATGTGCAAGGTAGTCTGGCCCCTGGTAAGAGAGAGAGTCCTTTGTAAACCTCACCTGTACAGGTGAGCTGTGTCCAAGCACAGATCCAGCCACGGAGAAAGCTTCCGTTGTTGAATTTCAGGAGGATGCACGGGAAAAGGTGGTTAAACTCTACTTGGACTAGAGGGCGTGGGGGCATACGGTCTCCATGCGTTTTGGGATTTAGGAGGCACAGTTGCCAGATCGGAGAACGGGATTTCCAGATGCTGCTGAGTTCTGGCACCTCTCACTCTCTCTCTAGAAATGGATAAAGGGTGTGTTTGTGCGCAGGGGAGCCATGAGGTGATCTCTCCTTCATCCCACACCCCTTTTCACTCTGTGGAGTAGGCTAAATTTGCATACCCTTTGTCAAGATGTGCCAGTAATAATAATAAGCGTAACGCAACAGTTCTAAACATCAAGGTTTCAGCTCCACTGAACACTGACTTCTGAATGAAAATGCATATAACTCTGCTGCAAAGCTGGGTGTAAGCATTTCAGTGATCATCAGGGCAGCACTATGAGATAGAAGTGTAGAATAAGCAGGATGCCCCCTAGTAGGTGCATCAGGCCTGGCTTACCACCTTCTGAGGAAAATTAATACACATTGCCAACTAAAGAGGGAACTACTATAAAGCTACTAAGTTCAACACTACTAGCTGTTCAAGATTGACTTAGGAAATAAAACTTCATTCATGTTGGTCCTTTATTGTAGGAATGAACAAGAGAACTTGGTAACCCATATTTCAGTATTTTTGAAAAGATTGCTGTAGAATACTTCAGTATACTTATTTTATGTGTGCCAACCCCTTTCAAGGGCCTAACCCTAGAGTGTGAACTTTCTACATAATTCAGGAGTTATTTGCAAATGTTCCTGTATATTGCCCATTGTAAATTTTTATAGTGGAAGAGAGCATAACAGGGAGTTGCCTCTTTTTATAAAGTGAGAGCAATCTTGGTCTACTTGCCTGTCAGCAAGAATTTGTTTAATGTGAAGGTGGGTTGACTTGCAACTTAAAACCCAATCCTGTGTACTTAGCCCATATCTAAGCCCACCGAAACAGGTTTGCATGTATAAGCAAGCCACAGTTAAATAAACCATTTGCATTGAATCTAAATGTATCCAATGTGTTTAAATCTGCATAGGACCTAACAACATAAATCAGGCCACTAGGCTCCAGTACTAAGCCCTTTTATATTATAGTTATTGTAGTTTTATATAGCACCATCACTTTACAGAGCAGCTAAACAAAAATCTATGTAGATTCTTTATAATCTAGTTTTTTCAAAAAGGCTGAAGTTACCTTAACAAAATGGAAATTACTTTTCAGTCTGTTCTGCCTGAAATTAAGTTTGGTCTGTTTCAATGTTAAATTTAAGCACGTATGCTGTTAGATATAAGCAAGTCAAAGGATTGTTGCACGATAATCCTAAACAGATTTCTGTTGAAAGGTGTCTCTCCTAAGTGTTCTTAACATTGGGGAGGGAGCAGTCTTACTTGTGTTCTCAACAACAAAGCCAGAGAAATAAGATTGCTTAAAACAAAGAATAAAAATCAGAATTTACAGTCTTGGACTATGCAAATGTTGTTTCATCATATAAGATCTTGAAGTTGTTCATGTGCATGCTCATCAGTTGATTACTAAAGTAAATCAAATGATAACCTGTATGTGTGACTCAAAAGATCTAACATGATCGACAGAGACAACTTCCACAACACCTGTAGCAACCCCCACATAAGTCAAGGGCATACTGTATTGCAGGGGTAGCCAACATGGTGCAGTCCAGATACTTTATTGCACATTCCCATCCCCCCTGATTGTGGCTTTGCTAGTTGGGGCTGATGGGAATAGGAACCCACAACTTCCGGAGGGCACTATTCCTGATATAGGGCTGACTTTCATCCTGTTTATATTCTGAAGTGTCTTGTAGGACACTTTTGTTCACTTGGGAGCAGTTTCTTTCTCCAGTAATCCAAATTATAATATCCATCCTTGTTCACAACCCAAGTCTAGTGATGATGTCCTCATTAGTCACTTTGGTCTGAGTCTGCCCTTGCTCCCTGAGATTTCATGGAGATATCTTATTTGTAGTTTCAGGCTAAGATTATTTTCTCTAATGGTATTGTTCTCTCCTTCTTAAAATATGTTTTATCCGCAGCTGAGATGGAATATGCTTCCATGCATAAACTTTTGCATGAGGCAACCCAGTTTCTTTAAATCTTCCAAATCTGAGGCTTTACCAAACCTAACCAGTGAGGGAGTAACTTGTGCTCCACTTCAAACATTTACAGAAGAGGAGATCATGATCAAAGAAATGGGTAATGTATTTGAATTCTATCTCTATGGGCGAAGTCTGCCATCACTAAATCAATTATTTTCTACATGGCATGTGATTTATAATAATGCACTGAAGAGAACGAATCACTTCTGTAAGCAAGAAATTCACCCCCAACCATAAATTGTTAGCTCATTTTCAAAAATTGATGTTTTGAAGAATTAAATGTCAGTTTAAGTCTATGTACACAATTCTCTGTTACAGAGTGGATAAATGCTGTTACCTTTCCCCCACTCCACTATGGTAAACTTAAATCAAAAGACCTAAATCTAACTGTAGCCACTAGTGCTATCTAACTTACATTTGTGAATTTTATATCTGTTAAATTTCTGGCTTCACTGCAACTTAAGGCTAACAATGAGATTCTTTATATCTTTTCTTCCTTATAGTGAAAAAGTTTGCTCATGAGCGAGTGCTACCATTGGTACAGAAAATGGATGCTGATGCAAAAATGGACGATTCTATTGTACAAGGGCTATTTGAACAAGGGGTTTGTACATATTTTGGTGTTTTTAATGCAGTATGTAGCTTCTTCCCTTTGCACACTGAGTACTATACGTATACATTTGTAACACAATAAGCAAAAGGATGAATGATATAATTGAAAAATGGTCACAGGGCTGACTGCTAGCTTTCATTCCGTTTTTCTGTAAATATTTGTAGCTTTTCTTCTTCTTCTTAGCAGATAGAAAGTTTATGCAGTAGTTTCACTGGAGGTAGATTTCAGGGGAAAACATTTGGTGACTAAGGTTACATCCTGACCCCACTTACATGGGAGCAAGCCCAAATCAATTCAAAAGGAGTTGCTTCTGAGTGGACATGGCTAGGATTGCACTTTGGGGTATTTTGATTACTCTTTAGTTAAATAAGAGGCACAAGTAACTATAATGTTTTAGTATTATGCCACTCTGATTCTAAAATTTGCTGATTCAGGAGTACAACAGCACAAACAAATCTGTAGGATCACAGTATTGGATCTCAAACTTGAGCATGCTGATAGCCAAATCTTGTGAACATATCCTTAGAGTTCAGTGGGAGGCTGTGATTATAGGAAGGTACACATGAAAATTCCTTTCGGAATCAATGAATGGTATTCAGCTAAATTTTACTCAGAGTAGACCCATTGAAACTAAGTGAAATGAGTCATGTTCGTTAAATTCATTGGGCCTTCTCTGGGTGAAACTTAGCAGAATACCACCCCAACAGCTCTTTTTTCTAGCAAAGATTATGGAAGTTGAGTAGAAGTCAGAATTCTAACAACAGCTTGTTCTTTCTTTTTCAGTTGATGGGTATTGATCTTGATCCCAAATATGGAGGAACTGGATTTTCCTTTTTTTCCACTATTCTGGTGGTTGAGGAGTTGGCCAAGGTTGATCCATCAGTATCGCTTATGTGTGAACTCCAGAATACCTTAACCAATAAATTGTTTACGACGTATGGCACAGAAGAACAAAAGCAAACCTATTTGCCTAGACTGGCGAAAGACATGGTAGGTGAAGTATATTGGCACGTAAGTTAAATATGCATATTAGAATTTCCACCTTAAGGAACGAACTGCAGAAACCTATGTACCATAGATTTATTTAGGAGTAAGTGCCACCAATTTATTGAAGCTTACTCTCAAGTAAGCTTGCATAGGACTGCAGCCTAAGAGCTCCATCCACAGCCTAGCCCTAGTTATACTAAACCAGTTGAGTTTAGGCATAATCGTGTCTCATTGACTCCTGTGAGTCTTCGGTTGGGTAAAAGAGATTTTTACAGCCAAATCATTCAAAGATTTTGGAGTTAAACTGTTGATTTTCATCACCCTTAAAGAGGCCACTAAACTGGCCTGTGGCAGAGCTTTTTGTATATTTCTCACTGCCAATGCACAGCATAACAGTGTCCCTGTTATTGCAGCAGCTGTTCCCCCTTTCCTCCATAGCACTGCTATGTTCAGGATGAATGAGATTGTGGAATTCTAGGAAACCATTTGCTCTGATTGAAACAATAAGTAGTAACAGCCCTTCTTTGTTTTCCAACCAGTGCCATCCAAGAAAGTGTTGGGTGTTTTTTCAGTTGGAGTGGTGCGAAAATGTTTGAGAGACTATATTGTGTAAATACTTGGATTTACTTGTCTTGTGGATTAAATATGCCACTGGTTGAAAAAAAAATCCTTTCTTACTTGATTACCTTGCTGTACCTATGTTCTCAAAATGTTCGCAGTGAATATATCTAGTGACTTTACTTTATTTTAAAATGATAGATGGGCAGCTTCTGCCTTTCAGAGCCTGGTTCTGGCAGTGATGCGTTTTCCTTGAAGACTCGTGCTGAAAAGAAGGGGGACTACTATATCATCAGTGGGTCAAAGATGTGGATTAGCTTTGCTGAGCATGCAGGAGTGTTTTTGGTGATGGCAAATGCCAACCCTTCCGCAGTAAGTAGCTAAAACAGTTATTGCTTGATTTTACTAAGGCATTGCATCAAGATTAATTACAAGGTATAAACTAGACTTGTACCTTGCTTATACTGGCAGTCTTCCTTTTTCTTCCTGTATCCTCAACTTATGGAATTTCTTCTGTTGCTTTGGAAATTTGCTAAAAACAGCAGAAGAGCAGAGTTAGGAACCTTGATCTCTCTTTCTCTCCCTTTGCCCCCCAATCCCTCCTGCCTGCCCTGGTGTTTTTCTTATCCTATTTGCATCTGAGAAGCCCTGTCTGGAGTATCCATACTAGTGAGTAAAAAGGTAAAGGTGCAGGTGGCCCTGTGGTCTAAACCACAGCCTCTTGGGCTTGCCGATTAGAAGGTCAGTGGTTCGAATCCCCACAACAGGGTGAGCTTCCGTTGCCCTGCCAACCTAGCAGTTCGAAAGCGCACCAGTGAAAGTAGATAAATAGGTACGGGAAGGTAAATGGTGTTTCTGTGTGCTCTGGTTTCCGTCACGGTGTTCCGTTGCGCCAGAATCAGTTTAGTCATGCTGGCCACATGACCCGGAAAGCTGTCTGTGGACAAACGCCGGCTCTCTCGGCCAATAAAGCGAGATGAGCGCCGCAACCCCATAGTCGCCTTTGCCTGTACTTAACTGTCCAGGGGTCCTTTACCTTTTTACCTTTTACTAGTGAGTGACAAAGGACAAATCACATGTTACAGTGGACCCTTGGGTTACGTTACCTTTGGGTAACGTAACTTTCGGGTTGCGAGCGTGGCAAACCAGGAAGCGCAGAAGCGGCTCCTCTACTTGCGGATTTTTCGGGGTACGGACGGACCCCTGGAACGAATTGCATTCGTATCCAGAGGGTCCACTATATGCTTAATACATAGCATGCAGTTACGTGTCCTGAGTTTTAAAAATAATTACAGCTTGAGTGCCAAGAAGATTAGTGCTCAAGCTCTTGGTATCTTGCATGGTTGCTACTTTATATGTGCGCCTGCTTAGGGGTTGCTGTGACAGAATTTTCCATTAATTGTTAGTAACTTACTTTTTGAAACATTCATCCTCTAGGAATTTCCAGGATGATATTTTTTATTCATTTTTGTATATTATTAGCTACCTTGATTTTCATTTTTGGGGGTTTGGGGAGAGGAACAGCAGCATACACACATGAACTAAAATAAAAATCTGTTAGTTGAGAGCAACATGGAATTCAGAGGCATTAGAATGGGTGGCATTGTTGCATTGCAGAAATGGCGCTTGAGGGCATTTCCAGGTGCAGGCTCTTTCAGCTGGTGGGCACACTGGATTCCACAAAACGCAGAGGAACAAATGGCAGACCAGGGATAAGATGGGATGGTAAAGGATGCAGTCAGACAAAGAAAGGTGGTTACACAGTTGTTGTACAGTTTTGCACTGTTCATTATTAGGCACTGTATTGCACAACCAGCAATCCAGAAGATTTATTTATATACAGTGGTACCTTGGTACTAGAACAGTTTGGCTTCCGAACAAATCAGCTCCCGAACACCGCAAACCCAGAAGTAAGCGTTCTGGTTTGCGACCGTTTTTCGGATGCTGAACGTCTGACGCGGCTCCTGCTTGAGTGCAGGAAGTTCCTGCAGCCAATCAGAAACTGCCTTGTTTTTTGAACGGTTTTGAGAGTCGAACAGACTCCTGGAACGGATTACGTTTGACAACCAAGGTACCACTGCAGTCAATTTCACAGTTAAAAGTGTTTACAATAAAAGCAAATCCATGTATAAAACTCAATCTGTAAATAGAAATTATTTCAGATCTAATACAGACACAGATTGGGATAAAGATCTTCACTTAAATGGCATATTGAAAAGGAAAGACTGGGCAGCCTTGGTTGGAATCCAACCCCAAGCTAGGAGGGTGAATTCTGGTTTCTTGCAGCTTCTCATTTTTCCAGTATTAAGTTGGATTCTCCACAGTTCTACATAAGTTTCCTAATCCTTTTTAAAAGGTACTCACAAACATGCGCTAGTATTTTATTTCATTACACCTTTTTTTGTATGGAACACCGCCTAATATAATGAGTTTTGTGTTCTATTTTTTTTACTGATATATGCATTTTCATGCAATCTTAACCTTACATTACTTGGTTGGAAAACTGCCCTGCAAAAATCAGAGCAGTGCAGATTTCAAAGGATTGCTGCATTTTCAGAATGTGTGAATTAGGTATATCTGCTTTTAATGTGAACTGAATTGAATTTCTACCCCATCCTTATTATCCGCACAGTTAATTTTCCGTATGTCTTTCCTTCCTAGGGCTATAAAGGAATTACCTGTTTCATAGTAGACCGTAATACAGAGGGCCTACATGTAGGAAAGAAGGAGGATAAACTGGGAATCAGAGCCACATCTACATGTCCTGTAACATTTGAAAATGTGAAGGTGCAGTAGTCATTTCAAAGCTGTGGAATTTGGCTCAGTACAAGCAGCTCAGTGGGATGCAGTTGCATAAATTAGCATGAGTTTGGAAGATGAATGGTGCAATACTCACAGGAGGTTGGCTTAAAAAAAAACATTTAGAAATATAGCAAATTTAGATTTGAATCACAGACGAACGCAATCTGTTGATTTATGATTGACCCAAATTTACAAAATTTTTGTCAACCAAAAGCCATACAGTAGTTTGCTTTTTTATGTTCCTCATAACTGAATGTAAAATACACGTTTGGCTCTGCAGTTGTATGGAAGCAGCGTAGTGAGGTTGATGGTTTCAAAGTCGTATTGTGGTTTGTTGCTTTGTCTGTGTGCATTTTTGTAAACCTCCTTGGGAAGCATTTATGTTCAAAAGGTCTATATTTTTTAAATAAATAAATGTGGAGATGGAAGTAAAGGGCTACTAGCAATTAATTGATTTTGCTTAATTCCTCAGGTTCCTGTGACCAACGTGCTTGGGCAGGTTGGGCAGGGCTATAAGTATGCCATTGGAATGCTCAATACGGGAAGAATAGGAATAGCTGCACAGGTAAGTATGGCTATAATTACTTAGGTCCAGTGCAGACGTAACGCAGAGTGTATACAGTTTTGACTGCCCCCCACCAGTCCTGATCTCAAAAAGGATGTTGCAGAATTGTAACAAAAGTCCTTTCAAGTGTCATCAAGTTACAATTACCTGAATCAGGAGAGCCACCACTGTCCGGACACTGTGGCTGAAGGTGTGTATACTTAAAACCTATTACTCCCTCCCCCATTATATGATTTGCAGCAGGGCTGGGCCCTTCAGAACGTGGCAGAGAACGTGGGGTCACACGCTTCCCCTTCACCCAGCTGTAATCATGTGAGGGTTTGAAAGACTGAATATGGCTAAAGAGTCTTCCACAACTGTTGTTAAAGAGATTAGGAGCTGGCTGCTGGATTGCATAATTCCCTACCTACACGCTCCCAGTCTTTCCTTTCTCTTGGAGAAATACAGTGGTACCTCAGGTTACAGACACTTCAGGTTACAGACTCTGCTAACCCAGAAATAGTACCTCGGGTTAAGAACTTTGCTTCAGGATGAGAACAGAAATCACGCAGCGGCAGCAGCGGGAGGCCTCATTAGCTAAAGTGGTGCTTCAGGTTAAGAACAGTTTCAGGCTAAGAACGGACCTCCAGAACGAATTGAGTACGTAACCCGAGGTACCACTGTAAAGTGCACCACATCACGGCTTAACATTCTTTAAGCACATAGGCTCGGACCCAACAATTATTGGGCATGCCCAATGGGATGCCTTTTTTTTCTTTGAACAAGAGGTTTCCATGTGATATCGCAAGCTGCTTTTGAATAGCCCCTTGAGTTTCAGAAATGCTTTGTAATGAGGGCTGCTCTTCTATGTGTCCTTGGGCACATGGAAGTAGTTGTATAGTTCTTTGAATTTTAGCCACAGTGACTAGGTTTCAGGCTCCTTCTTTAGAAGCCTCCCTTTGCCACTCACACCAAGAGTATCTTAACGGAATACTATGTTCCAACATCTTGAAGTAAAGAGAGATGTCATGAGCAAAAACCCAGGTTCCCTTCCTCTCCCCGCCCCCATTAAAAACCTGGTTTTAATTTAGAATTTAATCAGCATATTATGAAAAAAAAGCCCACCCTGAGCTATTAAGTTTAGGAGAACAGTATTAATAAGTAAGTAACCTTATCAAGGCATTACACATTAATGTTGTTAGATTATCACTTTCCATATTAAGCAGTGAAATGGACTGCTGGCGACTGACTAGGTATTATTATGCTGTGTGATGGGGCATTGAAAATTAAATGAATAAAATGTAAGTGATGGTGAGATGCTCTTAGAAATACCCGACTTCTAGCTTCTTTCACTGCCTTTTGAATTCTGCATATAACTAAGTTTGCTGGGGGGTTTTTAGTCTTTCTGGAATACAAAATCTCTCCAATCACTCCTGGCAATTGTCACAAAGCTTGTCTTGCCCTTTTAAAGAGGACTGTGACACTTTTCTAACCACATTAGTAACATTTGTTTTTTGTTGTTGTTCATTCACAGATGTTGGGATTAGCACAAGGATGTTTTGACCACACCGTCCCATATACAAAGGAAAGGTCCCAATTTGGAAAAAGCACATTTGATTTTCAGGTAGCGATGAGTGCATTCTGTAAAATGGGTCTAAAAACAAAAAGAAAAAAAGAAATGCTTATCACAGCTGCTATTTTGTAGGCCACAGTATTATAACTTCTTAACTGCTGCCACATTTTTTTTTTAAGGATTACCTGTGAGTAAATATGAAGAAAACATTTTAAGTAGTAATACCTTTCTGACTATCTGTGTGGCAGAACTTTCTATAACTTGTTTTTTTTTTTTTTTCATTTTCTTTTTTTTTTATTAATTTTTTTTTATTGATTTTACAGAGAAGTTTTAGACAATACAAACAAATAAAAAGACATACAAACATGTATAGTTTCATAACCTTTTTTTCATATCCCTCTCTTCTCGGACTCCCCCAAACCTCCCCTTCCTACATCCCAATTTCCAAAATTATTTCAGCAAATTCTAAATAATTTTATCAAATATATTTTTTCTTATTCTTTTCTTCAACTTAATCTTATGTCGCTGTAATCTCCTTTTCTTTCTCCAAACCTCGACATTTTAGCATTCCTCAATTTTATAATAGTTCTTAAGATAAATTTTAAATTTCTTCCAATCTTCTTTCGCCGTCTCTTTCCCCTGCTCACGGATTCTGCCAGTCATCTCAGCCAATGTCATATAGTCTATCACCTTCATCTGCCACTCTTCCAGGGTGGGTAGTTCTTCTGTCTTCCAATACTTTGCAATGAGTATTCTTGCTGCTGTCGTAGCATACATAAAAAAAGTTCTATCTTTCTTTAACACCAATTGGCCGGCAATGCCCAAGAGAAAGGCTTCTGGTTTCTTCGGGAAAGTACATTTAAGTACCTTTTTCAGTTCATTATATATCATTTCCCAGAAAGCCTTAATCTTCGGGCACGTCCACCAAAGGTGATAGAAAGTACCTTCAGTTTCTTTACACTTCCAACACTTATTATCAGGCAAATGATAAATTTTTGCTAGCTTGACTGGGGTCATGTACCACCTATAGATCATTTTCATAATATTTTCCTTTAAGGCATTACATGCCGTAAATTTTATACCTGTGTTCCACAACCATTCCCAGTCAGCAAACATAATGTTATGACCAATGTCCTGTGCCCACTTAATCATAGCTGATTTAACTATTTCATCTTGTGTATTCCATTTCAGCAGCAGATTATACATTCTTGACAAGTTCTTAGTATTGGGTTCTAACAGTTCAGTTTCTAATTTTGATTTCTCCGCCTGGAAGCCAATTTTCCTGTCTTGTTTATACACCTCCATTATTTGATAATAATGGAGCCAATCTCGAACTTTGGGTTTCAATTTCTCATAACTCTGTAACTTCAACTTATCTCCATCTTGTTCCAAAATTTCCCGATACTTTAGCCATTCGGCTTCCATATTAAGCTTTTTCAACGCCGTAGCTTCCAAAGGTGACAACCATCTAGGGGTTTTACTTTCCAACAAATCTTTATATCTTATCCAAACGTTATATAATGCTTTTCTGACAATATGATTTTTGAAGGCCCTATGCACCTTAATTTTATCATACCATAAGTATGCATGCCAACCAAATGTATTGTTAAAACCTTCTAAATCCAAGATATCTGTATTCTCGAGGAGCATCCATTCTTTCAGCCAGCAAAATGCTGCTGCTTCATAATACAGTTTTAAGTCCGGCAGGGCAAACCCCCCTCTTTCTTTTGCATCCATCAGTATCTTAAATTTTATTCTGGGCTTTTGCCCTGCCAGACAAATTTCGAAATATCCTTCTGCCACCTCTTGAAACAGTCTATCTTGTCAAGAATTTGTAATGTTTGAAACAAAAATAGCATTCTAGGCAATACATTCATCTTAATAACTGCAATTCGGCCTAACATTGACAATTTCAAATTTGACCATATTTCTAGATCTTTTTAATTTCCGACCAACATTTTTCATAATTGTCTTTATACAGGTTCAAATTCTTAGATGTCAAATAAACCCCTAGGTATTTCACCTTCTTTACCACTGTCAAACCTGTTTCATTCTGAAACTTCTCCCTCTCCATGGCTGTTAAATTTTTTTCCAAAACTTTAGTCTTTTGTTTATTCAATTTAAATCCGGCCACCTGACCAAATTCTTGAATTAGCTCCAACACCCTTTTTGTACTAGTGTCTGGCTCTTGTAAAGTAAGTACTAAATCATCTGCAAAGGCCCTTAACTTGTAATGTTTGGCTCCGACCTGTACACCTTTAACCTGCTGGTCATCTCTAATCATATTTAGCAACACCTCCAGAACAGAAATAAAAAGTAATGGGGAAATTGAGCACCCCTGTCGTGTCCCTTTTTCTATTTTAAATTCTTCAGTTATCACATTATTTACAATAAACTTAGCCTTTTGTTCAGCGTATATGGCACCCATACCATTCTCGAATCCTTGGCCTACCCCCATCCCATGAAGATTCTTTTTCATAAAACTCCAAGAAATATTGTCAAAGGCTTTCTCCGCGTCCACAAAGATCAGAACTGCTTTAGTGTTTATGTTCACCTCTAATAATTCCAAAATGTCTATTATGTTCCTCACGTTGTCTGATAAATGCCTTTTTGGGAGAAAGCCTGCTTGGTCCTTATGAATCTTCTCCATCAACACTCTTTTCAGTCTTTTTGCCAGAATGTCTGCAAAAATTTTATAATCCACATTAAGTAATGATATTGGGCGGTAGTTCTTAAGTTGAGTCTTTTCAGTCTCTGTCTTTGGTATGAGTGTAATATACGCTTCTTTCCACGATTCTGGTGCCCTTTTCCCCTCTAAGATCTCATTACAGACTTCCTTTAATGGTTGTACCAACCACTCCTTCAAAGCTTTATAGTATCTGGAAGTCAGTCCATCTGGTCCTGGAGATTTGCCCAGTTGCATGTTTTGAATGGCACCCTCTATCTCTTGATCTGTTATTCTCTGGTTTAGATCCACCTTACTTTGGTGAGAGATTTTTTGTAGACCATACTTTTAAGAAATTCATCTATATCCTCCTCCTTCTGTGGTCCTTGTGAATATAGTTTTTTAAAATAACTCAAAAAACAGTTTCTTATCTCGTTAGGTTTAGATATATTCTTTCCATCCACTTCTAGGCTTGTAACTGTGTTTAGTTTCTGTCTAGAACTTTCTATAACTTGAGTGAGAACTCCTTTAGCTACGAATTTTTACACAATTCTACCGTGATGCAGTTATTTCTTGCATCGTGGTAGAATTGTTTAAAAGTTCATTTGTAATTTGTCATTCAAGCTACAATTTGGTTAACCACTGTAATATTTGCATTATTATATTTCACTGTAGTTGCCATAGGATGTGTTTATAAAACGGTAATTATAGTAATGATTTCCCCTTGCTTTTTTGGTTGTTTTTGGCTTGGTCTTTTGGCACTTTAGACTTCATTTCCTACCTGGAAATGAATACAGTTCTATTTACACTTGAGTAAACAAACAAATAATTGCTATATCAGTCACTCATAGGATCAGGAACTGAGCATTATATTTGGCAGCTGGGGAAGGGAGGATGATTTTCTCTTTCAAGTTTAGTTTTACATGGAACTTGTTTCTTTCAAGGGAATGCAACATCAGATTGCGCAAGTGGCTGTACAGATAGAAGCTGCAAGATTGTTAACCTACAATGCAGCTCGACTTGCAGAAAGCGGAAGACCATTCATAAAAGAGTCAAGCATGGCCAAGTATTATGCAGCAGAGGTAAGCTGTATTTGAGGTTCTTTTTTGCCTTTTCTTTTTAAATGAAACATAACTGAACTGTGGCTTTATATTATTACAGGTAGCTTATCATGAGACATCCTGAAGAAATTTGCAATAAAAGCATATATGGAACAATTCCTTATCAATACAATTAAAACATTTGCCTATATAAAACAACCATATACACAATTTAGAACAATATATATATATATATAGCTTGATTGTAATGCAACCTCAAAGTGGCTTACTGAAAGAATGAAACAAGAAAATCACCCATTAAAAACAGCATTTTAAACATTTTAAAAATGATTAAAATCAGCAATAAGTCAAATACCGGATCAAAACATTCTACATGTCTGAATAGGCTTGACAAACAGAGTACAGTGAAGGCACCAACCTGATATCAGTATTCTCACGGTGAGGATAGTACAGTATTGATTTGAATTGAGCAGAAGTCACAGCATGCTTCATGTGTTTTTTGCAGGTTGCTACTCTAACAACAAGTAAATGTATTGAATGGATGGGCGGAGTTGGCTTCACAAAAGATTATCCTATTGAGAAATATTACAGGGATTGCAAGATCGGTAAGTAGCAGTTTCTTAGAGATCATCTGCTGAAAATGAAAACGTAGCATTTTTATCCAGTTTAAGTTTGAATGATCAGAAAGTTATCAACAAAGCGCATTTGCCATTCTCCATCTCCTGATATGGATATTGAGCGGCAAATCTATAAGAATCTGGAAGTCTGATTGTTTGTCAAGTTTTGATCTACAATCTTAGCCACACCAGGTTCCTAACCCTCTTCACTCTCCCAGCTACCTACAGGCAAACTGATTAGATACCTTAGTTTGTTCGTTACCCAGAATGTAGATCTGATAGTCTCTTCGCATACAGCTGCATAGGCAAATCCATGCTACCTGCCCCACCATGCGGCTATATTATTCGCTTCCAATCCTTAGCTGCTCAGAATTGCATGAGTGAAAAGCAGGCCCCATGCCTCTGGATGTGGAAGATATAGGGACTAATTTCTGTTAGGAAATGCATTGTTCTTTCTTCAGCAAAATTATGACCAGCCCTATCTATGTTAGACTGTACAAATCTGTGTGGATATCACAGTCTCATCAGTCACTGATCTGCAGCCTGCCATACTGGACTGTCTCCACTAAAATATGTACAAGAGGATATGAAAGCAATACCTACTTTACACATACAAGTTATAGGGTGGAATTGAACATTCGTGAGTAGACTTCTGCTTGCACAACAGGGCTTCTTATTCCTCCCTCCTGCAGCCTCCACATGCCTCCCAAATCTGAATTGGAGGGACCCCCAGTCCCTCAGAGCAATTGTGTGGGTGGCTGCAGAAAAAGGGGAGAGGAAGCAAAAGTCCTGTTCTGCAAATGGAAGCACACGGTCACCTCTGGAGTCAATCCATAACTTTTGTGAGCTTGCCCTTGCATCTTCCTTTGTAATAAAACCACACCACATTCAAAGTTTCTACTAAATTGTTTAACATACTGCACTGATCACAACAAAAAATACTCCAGCGGTAGAACTTGAGGCTGTATTATCAGACCTTTTTCACTCTGCATCTATTATATAGCTTTGCCTCATATCTAATGTTTACCATAACATGCTTAAATCACTGTTTATATTATTGCTTCATTTATTCCCCCACCCTGATGGTTTGTTTCAGGTACCATATATGAAGGAACTTCAAATATCCAGCTGAACACAATCGCAAAATGCATTGCTCAAGAATACTGAAAATCAAGAGATTTAATTACCGCTGCAGTACTGGTGTGAATCACAGGCTACTTCTTCATGTCCAATTTCTAAGACAAAATAAGAAAAATTGTGGTAATTTTAAATATGTACAAGACTGCAGCATAAGTGACTAGACTGTTACACTTCAGTAATGTACCGTAATAACTAATTTTCCCAACTATAATGATACAGGGCGTTAAAATCAACCTTCTTTTGTATCTACACGTTGGGGTTTGTGGAACTGATAACTTCAGTTGATTCTGGGCTATCAAGGCTTCTCTGCTTTACCATGTGGGCTCTTTGAACTTTTGCACCTGCTTATCAAGATCCAGCACACAAATATATAAACTGTGGAAAAGAACTAATTATCCAAGAAATCTCTGAAATTCTATTCACACAAGTGTGATGGCCCTGATCACATGGGAGCTGTAATGAAGTTACGCTAAAAGAATACCCTACAACCCATACATGTCGGTGAACTACACAAGTATCAGTGGTCGGTGCTTGAAAACATGGCCTAAATAGGATAATAATGGACAAAATAATACACCTCTTTGATTGATGGAGATGAAGATGGAGATGAAGGAACTAACTGATACAGGGCCTTTCCTATAGGATGGTTAAAAGTTAGTACTTCATGCTTTATCCTGAGCATCCTGTAAAAATGCATGCAGGTCTCAGAGCCAGCAATAAGTAAGACATTTGCTTTTGAATAGTCCTGTTAATTTTGGCTATTGCAATGCATACTCCTGGGAGTATGTTCATTTCCATGGCACTACTCTGTCATTAATACCATGAAGAATATGGGCAGGAAGAATACTTAAAGGTATTTTACATAGAACTGCTTCACTGGAACATAAAAAGGTAAGATAAGATTCTGGTGTCTGTGGCACTACAGTATCATGAAAAATTGTGCAGGGATGCAAGTGAGAAAGGGGTGCTGGTTCCACTGAAGTCAATGGGGTTTTTATCAGCTTCCTTTAAACCCCTTTGTCTTTGCTGGCTTTTAGACTGCAATTTTTAATTTTTGTGCCAAAGTCAAATACATGTAAAGTGTGATCGCCTTGTTTCCACACCTCATTGGGTGAAACTGTTGCAGACAAGAGTACCCAAATAAGGTGATCTTGCATTCTTTTTATTTGTGCCGAATACAGTGGTACCTCGGTTTAAGAACAGTCCGGTTTAAGAATGATTTGGTTTACAAACTCCACAGATCCAGAATGTCCCGGTTTGAGAACTTTACCTCGGTCTAAGAATGGAATCCGAATGGTGGAAGGGCACTGGCGGCGGGAGGCCTCATTAGGGAAAGCGTGTTTCAGCTTAAGAACGGTTTCGGTTTAAGAACGGACTTCCAAAACGGATTAAGTTTGTAAACCGAGGTACCACTGCACACACACACACGTTTCTTTCCATTCTATTAGTGGAAGAAAATGCCCATTTGAAAAGCACCCTCATAATAAATATTGCTGTTACTAATATTAGTTCATCCATCAGATTGGGTCGGGGGCAAGCATTTGGTTGTGTATGTGGGGAAGAAACATTGCTGAGTCCAAGCGGCAGAGCGCAGCCTGAGCTGCAAAAATGCTGAGGCTAAATTGTAGATCATGCATGGGGACGTTAAAGCGAATGCATTTCCTTGTATGCTCAGATCTTGTGATAGCTGCTGGGTTTAATCGGAAGTAGTCCTGGAGCAGAATAAACAGTGTTCTGAAGTGAGCGAATGACTGGGGGAGGAAATGCACACATTTTGGAAGAAGCACAACACATTAAAAGGCACCCCCCCCCAAAAAAAAAGAAGAAACCAGAAATCCAGCAGGCACATGTTGAATTTCTTGTTGTTTCTGCCATCTTAGAAGAGGCATATCCTCTGTGTGACAGAAGATGTGATCTCTCTTCGATGATTCATATATTTCCCACCTTTCTTTTCTTATGGGACCCAAGGTGGAGTCCATGTGGTTTCCAGGCCATCAGCCAAGCCCAGACCTACTTGGCTTCAACATGGTGGTGGCCTCATGTGCCTTCACTCCGCAGCCTGGGAGTGCCTGTATTCTTTTTTAAATGAATGCTTGTATTAAAAAAATAATTGCAAAGATTTGCAAGTTTAATAGAGCCATCTTTTAAATTTATTACAATGTTTCAGATGGAGTATTCTGATTGACAAAACATTGCAGCCCCAGTAATAAGTGGTAGCATTACTCTTTAAGCTGGCAGTAATTGGCTATAACATTTCTATGACAAGGTCCCCACTGTGCCTTCAATCAATCTAGCTGTATTAAAAAATATGGAAAGCTTGTCTTTGTTACATTTGAGCTACCTTTGTGGGTTAAGAATAAGTATAGCCACATAGTCCAGTTATACAATGTACAAAGCTGCTCATGAAAACTGTCCAGCTACTTGATTCAATATACTTTGCTATATACCTGTTACAGGACCTGCATTCGCCTCTCTCTTTTCTTGAGGGGCTCTGGGTCTTTTAACATCTGCATGTCAGTTAGAGATTCAGCAGGCACAACTTTCCTCATAACAACTCATGCCTGGGAAAGCTTTCTTTAAATTCTAGCTAGGAGGCAGCTTTTAAAAAGCAGAAATCCACTTTCAGCAGGGGGGGAATGTTACAACCCTAACTTTGAAATGGCTTTTGCATTAAGCATCTAGCATACAAGTTTTTATCACTTTGAACTGTATGTTTATTATATCTGCTTTGGGCTGTATGCAGCTGATCGGAATCCGATTCCTTCTAAGCCAAACATTAAGGAAAATCCTTGGTGAGTATTTCAAGTTAAAGGTACAGTTTGTATAAAGAACATCCAAGGTGAAGTATTTTTGTACGGCACGCTTACTGCGTGCATTGTTACAAATATTTTTGTATGTCTTCTACCATGATTGTACACCCCACAAAGTGGCTATAAAAGTGATTAAATGCAAATGCATCTACTAAGTGAAAGTGGAATAAAACTGTAAAATAAGATTGTGGTTGATGAATGCCATACACGTAACACTCTCTTCTCAATCAACAAAGCATATGATAATGTCTTCTGACTGTGGTGTGTGCTGTCTATCCATCTACCCTACAACTACATTCTATGGAGATAGTACTTGAAGAATGATCTTGTGTGGCACAAGTAAGGCCTTGATGCTTTCCTCACTGTCTCTCTCTCTCTCCTTTTTTCTCTGGCACACATTGCTATCTCTTGCTTTCCTAATTTTTTCATAGGCTGACATTGGAAGGTTTTTGCAAATGCAAGCACAATTCATACAAGATTGCTTTCTGCCCCTGGACAAGAACACACATATGGGATTCTCTTAGTTTCTTCTCTGCTCACTCTTTCTTTCTCTGGCATCAAGGTACCCTTAAAGGCACCCCAAAAGCTTTAAAAATAAATAAAAATAAAAATATTCTACTCTCTGTCACAGTCAAGAAAAAGGATTATGAGCAATGTTAACACAAGAGACCAAATGTTTTCATACTAAACCAACTGAACAGCAAGGATGCATTTGTGATCTTGGTTCAGAATGAGAAGCTAAGCAATAATAATGGAAATGGACTTGGCTATGGCATTTAGATGGTTCTGTAAGTCCTGTTTATTCACAAATAATGCTGACTCTTCTCAGGTGCATGTATGATTATAACAAAGTAAATCCATTAGGATTGTTCTTTCGGCAGTTTTGTCATTTTGGACTTGTTAAGTTGGTTCCACGTTGGTTTCAAAATTGGGTGGCAAATTGCCTCTAGCAACTTACATGGAATAAAATATTTTCAGATGCATACATTCCTCACCTCTGACCCTAAAGTTGTCTATTTATGGGGCAGCAGAGGCAAATTGCATCGGCAACCTATTTGAATGTAGCATTCCCACGTTTTCCCCTCATGGGATGGTTTGTAGAAGGTATTGCATAAGCATGAATGATGTACTGGAGTCAATCTTGACTTTAGTTTCGAGTGTGATTGCTTACCTTATCCCCCTCTTAAGCCAGCCACTAGAGGGAAATCCATCTACCAGTAAACAGGCTGAACATATCCAAATCTATACAGTAGAGGGCATAGGAGCTCTTCCATACAGGCCAATTTTTTTAAATAAAAAAATGCCTAAATCACTGTCACATCAAAGATACTGGAGGGGGAAAGATGTGGAAAAGTATGCCAAGAAAGCCTGCCAGTGTAGAAATAATTAAATGTATTCCTTTCCCTTTTTTTAAGGTTAACAGTAAGTCCTCTTTGGCACCAGAGCAAGTTGACTTTTTATGTAGTGAAGTGTTCATTCATTATGCCTTTTCTTACTGTTAGGCTTCAGTTTTTCATTAGGACACAGCTGGCTTTTTTTTCTTCCAGAGTTGGGAAGGGGAGAGACGAAGTGTGCGCCCCTCCTCCATCTCTCACATTGGAAGCTGGTTTAAACTGAGTTGGTCCATTACTCTGTCTCAGTACTTCCTTTCCTTCCCAGCCCTACCTGCAGGTGCCAGTGATTATATCTGCGTGCAAAGCATGTGCTCAACAGACCACTAAGCTAGAACCTCGTATCTCACTAGGCAATTGCATAAACTTCCAAATTTTCTGAAGGCCATCTGGTCCAACTTGCTTTCACCCAGAAGCAAAGTCTTCTGTATCGATTATTCCTATAAGGTTAATTCATGTCTAGTTGACTTAGCAGTAGATGTGGGCTTATCTGCTCTTGGTGGTAACAAATCCTGTTAACTGAATAGCCATATCTTCAAAAATGTGATTTGTTAATAAATGGAAAATACAATAAAAGAGTAGACTACAGGCAGGTTGGATGGTCCCCACATCTCACTCCTGGAGGTCAAATTTTAAGGAAGTAGGGAAGGAAGGAAGATGCGAATTCACTTGTCAGGAGAAGAATAAACCTCATTTAAATACATTAAATACATTTCATTTTGCTAGCTCTTGGAGAATAGGGTGACCCCTGAAAATACAGAAGACTTTTGACTGTAACTTCAATATATAGGGTTGCATCTAGACACACCTTGAAAAGAACTCCAATCCAGTAGAAGCTTTCAGTAGAAAAAGGAGAGAAGGTAATTTCCACCAGTTTTTATATGCACACAAACACTCCCCCACATCACTTCCCTTTTTGTTTCAGAAGATCCTCCAAGTCTCTTTTTAGGGAGGTGCCACGCATAGAAAGAAGGATGGAAATCACTTCTCTCCTTGCAGGAGAGTGTCCCACGAATAGAATTAGATCCATCCTACAGTCAAACCAGATATGGGTCATTTATATATTTTTATCCCACCTCTTTAACATCAGCTAGAACAAAAGAGTGATTCAGAACACAACTGATGATGGGCTCACCTACATTTCCTGACTGTAGTGCTACCGTTACTTGTTTTTTTAATCCATGAAGACTTTAAAAAAAAAAGGTTAAAAAATACAAAACTGTTTTGATAAAGAGCTAGATTCAATACTTTCCTGCCAAACAGGTGACTTAGTAGCGTTTTAACTTGATTTATCTTGCAGCTGTATCATTGCATGCCCTATAAACGGTCCTTTCCTTATTTATTTATTTATTTATTTATTTATTTTCCACCTATTGTTTGCTTTCTATTTTTTTTAAAAAAATCATTTCATTTTTGCACTAAAGCACTACTGTAGGAACAAAACAAAATAATAAAGCAAACACAATTCACATTTGGAGAGGGCCAGATATTGCTATGGCTGGGACTGTGATGCACTGTCCGTGTTTGCCTTTGCAAGGGGGGGGGATATTCTAATGGGGAATATAGCACTGCCTAAAGAGCTATGCAGAACTTCAGTGATAGACCCCATTTTAACAGCTGCCTGCATTTGGACATCAAAACAGAACTCAAGGGTACTATTGCGGAATCAGAAGGTAATATGGTGAGGTGCTGAGAACCCTTTTCAGGCCCACCGGCTTGGCCCTGGGACCGTGGGTACCTGGGGCCACACACACCACATACACATATGCATCTGACATCAGCATGCCCCGCAGCGTGTGTGTGTGATGTCATCATACCCTGCGGTGTCAGGTGCGCACGTCAGCAGGCGTGCTGATGTCACATGTGCCAGCCCCCATGACATGTATGGCCCTGACTAAAAAAAATGTGGGCGCTTGGCCCCTTCTTGGAGAATATTGTGGGGTGTTGGAGCACCCAGGGCCCCCCTCACCTGGCTCCTATGACTCTCCTTGAAACCACCTACCCTGAACTACCATTCCCTACCCTCCAACATTCCTCAGATGAAAAGAGGGACATTTCTCACTCGCCCACAACTGACTCTCCTCGACCCTCCCCATTCCCTCCCCCCCAAGCATTTCCTATCAGAAGAAGGATGAGTGCCGCCACCACAAACCAACAGGACACACTCCTTCCACCGTCCTGAGAAAAGCCCTTAATTCCGATTTTATTTTATTCTGTGTTAGATTTACAAAAAGAAAAACACATTTCAATAAATAAATTTTAGAAGGGGGAAAGATTAGATGTGGACATAAAAAGTATTTTTTAAAAAAATAAAATAAAAATAAAGATTCTTTGCACACAGCTCCCCCTTTATTCTCAGGGTGGCCCTACCATCTGCCTGCCCCATCATGTGGGCCTGGGCCTCAGCTGTGGCAGCTTCTCCTCACCTACAAGCTGCCCAAAGGAAGAAACCAGCAACAGGAGCCATGGAGAGGCAACAGGATGCTCTCACTGTTGCTGGTCAGGACAAGCGCCGGCTCATCCTCCACCCCAAGTTCAGTGGCAGGGGAAATAGGGACATTCCAGGATCAAATTAAAAGCTGAGGTGGCTTTCATAATTCTGGTACTGTCCCTGGAATATCGGGACACTTGGCAGGTATGCCGTTTTCAGGTGTCCCTGGAGAAGAGAGACTGGCTATCAAACGCCAAATGTGCCCTCAAGTTGCATTCAAGAGAACCGTGTCCCATGAAGAAGCAGCTTCATCAGATGCTCCCTTCTGACAACTACCTTGCTGCATAGGTCTACATAGGCTTGACCGAGCAAAGTCCTTGTAACATGGCATCCTTTCAACACATAACAAATTTAGGAACTGTTGTAACATCTCCAGCACCACTGCAAAGTTCAAACCACGGGTCTATGGGGGAAACTATTGCCCTTCAGATGTCACTAGACTCCAATTCCCATCACTCCTGGCCTTGCTGGCTAGTGTTGATGGGCACTTGAATCCAACGACATCTGGAAGGCTGCAGGATCCACACCGATGGTCAATGCATGCTTTGAAACTCACAGGGCAGAACGATGTGTCTACAAGGCAATTTGGAGCAGAGAAATGGCTGAAGGACAAGTAAAACAAAAAACAAAAACCCTCTCCTACCACTTCACTACTTGAAAACACTCCCTTGCTATTTTTGTTTTTTGTTTTTTTAATGTTGCTCAGCTCCATTAAACATGTTTATGGAGTTAGCCACCAAGTAAGTATCCTTTAATCCTCTTCCAATCTGTGTATATTGTGCGCATTTCTGTCTATATGCTGTGGGACAGCCATGAGTTACCTTTGGGGAAGAAAGGAAGCATCAAGTCTTCCATGTTTATCTGAGTCCAGTCTTCCATTAGTGTTCTAGAACATTTCCTTTCCAGAGCTAAATTTCTCAGGGCTATTGCTTCATATTCAGGATCAAGTTAATTACTACAGACTAAGGCCTAATTTTGCAGTGCTTCTGGTTTCCCCCTCCTCTCTCCTTTTAAAAGGTACCCCATAATAATTTCTGAACAGATAATGAAAGCCTTGCCTGTCTTCTAAACTGGTTGATTTATGTGCTGTTTGCGGTTTTTGAGAACACAAAACAATTAATTTATGTGTGAAAAGAACAGTGAATTAATCCTACTGAGCCCTGGAGCCTTTAAAGACCTGCATCGTATGTTGAGCTCGTTTAAAACTTGCATAAGAAATTAATGTAGACTCAAGCCCTTTCATTTGAAAAGTGCGGCTATAGTAGATGTCCCTGAGATATCTGCAGGATCATTATTCAGAAAGGTTAAGGGGACTTTATTA